AGAATGTCCACATGCATGGCAGATAGGAATAGTTAAGGAAGAGATGGAAGAACTGGTGTTTGAAGATGGTGGAAATGTAACAGTGTAGAAATACATGCGAGTGGAATAGTTTTGAGACAGAAAACCCTATAATACCCAGGTCTTATGGGATCCTGAAGCTGCCTGTGCCGCCTCTCAGCACTGCCATCATGCCAGTCTGCTTAGGACTTTGGCTGTCACCATATCTAACATTTTAAATAATCTCCACTAGGTTTGCTGACTTGCAAGCAAGTGAAAAAAAGATAATCTTGGCCGGGTATGGTGGCTCAGGCCTGTAATCCCAGCACTTTGGGAGGCCGAGGCGGTGGATCACCAGGTCAAGAGTTCAAGACCAGCCTGGCCAAAATGGTGAACCCCGTCTCTACTAAAAATACAAAAAGTAGCTAGGTGTGGCGGCAGGCACTTGTAATCCCAGCTACTCAGGAGGCTGAGGCAGGAGAATCACTTGAACCTGGGTGGCAGAGGTTGCAGTGAGCCGAGATCGTATCACTGCACTCTAGCCTGGGTGATAGAGTGAGACTCCATCTCAATAATAATAATAATAAAAGATAATCTCCATAAAGTATTTTATATATTATACTTTAAGTTACTAGGTTCACAATTCACACATTTTGTGTTAGAGCCCTTTCTGACTTCCCATTGACTGTATTATGTTTTTCTAGCCTATACCAGAAATTAAAGTTGTATCAAATCTGCCCTCCATGACCGTGGAGGAAGTGAGCGTTAGTGATGTAGTTCACCTGGCCCCAGAGGAGATCAAGGTAAGAAGTCAGTGTTAGGCTGCAATGAACCAAGATTGTGTCACTGCACTCCAGCCTGGCGACAGAGCAAGACTTTGTCTCAAAAAAAAAAGAAAAAAAAAAAAAAAAAAAAAAAAAGCCAGTGTTGAAACCTTAGGTGTCTGTTACAAGTTAGTTGATTATAGCCAGAGTCCATGTATTTAATGTCATTTCCCTTGCATTTGTAGTTTTTCTTCCAATGTATCTCTGCAGTTTCTGAGTATAAACTAATAATGTTATAATATTCAAACACCGGTCTCCAGTATTCTGGTTTTATTATGAGGTACAGGTTTGAGAGTTACTATAAAAGCAGTTTTTAAATAGCTAGTATCGATATCTTGTTATAATCCAATCCGAATACTAGCAATGATATCAGGTTTAAAGCAAATTGCTTGCATTGCGTACATACTAGCAATACTTTAATATCAGCATTTCCCGCTTATTTTATCCATGTGATGGTGATTAGTAATGGAATCTGGGTCTAGAATCGAGCATTTGGTTATCTGAAGAGGTTGGATATATCAACTGCAGCAGTCCCTGCCATGAGAACATCAAAGGCCTTGCGTTACACATTAATAATGGTTTCTGCCAGGTGTTCACCCTCCTGGCTGGCTTAGCAGCCGGGCCTTCCTTTTCGCTCCTCATTGCCTTGCTATGCCTACACTCACCCCTTCTGTTGGAGCCTCTGCTGTCTCAGTGCAGGTGACAGCCCTGGCAGGATAGGCTGGTAGTTGACGAGAAAAGAGAGAACATTGATCCTCATTGGAGAGATGTTTCCCTTCCTTTCCACTGTTCGTCGGTCTCTGGGCCCTCTGTCCTCAGTCCAGTTGCTGTCATTAGCAGCTCAGAGCTGAGGCTGCCTCTGGCATGTCCCAGAAGCCTATTAAAATCTAAATGCTGTGGAGAGCTTGCTTCTCTTGAGCTGTTAGCTTGAGAACCCAGCTCTCCGTGCTACCTTTGCGAATTAGTTTGGGAACTAAACCGTCACTATAAGAGTCTGTGCTGTCAAAGATGCATTCCAGGTTGTGAAGTGCTGTGTTACCAAAGCTCACTGGAATGCAGGTGGGGTTTGCTCTGTGTCTTCATGCATTTGGCCATAGACATAGCAGCCCATTCACTAGCTACTGTGCAGTTTCTTCCACTCCAGTTTCGCGAAGTTGTTGAAAAAGTCGAATATCAGCCGGGTGCAGTGGCTCACACCTGTAATCCCAGCACTTTGAGAGGCCGAGGCGGGTGGATCATGAGTTCAGGAGATCGAGACCATCCTGGCTAACACGGCGAAACCCCGTCTCTACTAAAAATACAAAAAATTACCCCGGCATAGTGGCGGGCGCCTGTAGTCCCAGCTACTCGGGAGGCTGAGGCAGGAGAATGGCGTGAACCCGGGAGGCGGAGCTTGCAGTGAGCTGAGATCGCGCCACCGCACTCCAGCCTGGGCGACCAAGCGAGACTCTGTTTCAAAAAAAAAAGAAAAAAAAAAGTCAAATATGTTGGTGGTTATTTTTTAATAGGAGAAAAATAAAGCTGGAAATATAAAAACAGCTCCTGAAAAAACAGCTACAGACAAAAAACGAGAGCGGAGGAAAAATAAATACTAAAAGCATATGAAAATAAACGAGAAGGAGAAGCGGAGAAAACTGCTTGAAAAGAGCAGTCCAGATCAAGCAGGGAAATACACAAAGCACTAGCTTTGGAAAAGTTAGACAGCTGACCAAAACTGGCAAAGCTTCCTTCAGAAAGGTGAGGACAAGGGAAAGAAAACTGCTCAAGGGGACCTTTGAGGGGACAGTATTGGGTGACTGGAATGTCTGAGCCAGACACCAGCCCACCTGCAGGATGGAGACGCATGCTACTGACTGGCGGGAACCACAGCCTTAAACGTTCTGGAGTTTTTCGGGTAGGGTCCTCCCAATCACCTGGGTCCTGGCAGCAGCTTTTCTTCCACTCCCTTTTCGCTTAAATTATAGAAACACTGTAGCAGTATAAAATGTATAGAATGCCTCTATGCTGACTGATTTAGTTTTCTGTAATTCTAGTCTTTTTTCATACTTATAGTTGTGTACATTGTTGTAATAATAATGACGTACTAATACATTTTTGGCTTTTTTTCACTTAATAGTACATTTTACAGCATAAGCGTGTATTATTTTTAATTGCAGGATGAAGGTACAGACAAGGCCTTAAAGTCCTCTCAAGCATTCTTTTCTAAATTACAAGATCAAGTAAAAACGCAAATCAGTGATGCAAAGAAAACAGAAAAAAAGAAGATAAAGACAGGATATTTCCGCTCATAAATTAAAGCTGTAATATATTTTGAACATAATGTCAATATTAATGTGTAAGCTCATATTTTATCATCGTTCTGTTTTATAATAAAATGATTGAGAACCGTTCTTTGCATCAGTGGCCGATATTTGAGAATTCCATGGTGTGAAAAGACAAACCCCAAACTATTTACAAAGCCCGGCTGGTTTTCACCGCGTGTGAAGCAGGACCTGGCTCCCCAGGCCCTTCCTGTTCAGGCGCTGCCCTGCTGCTCTGCTCTTGCCATGGCCCGGGCCTGTGTGAAAGCCAGGCCAGCTTGCCCATGTGGGATGGTGAGTAAGCACTGGCCTGCAGGCTGGGAAGAGGACAGAGCTAGCCAACCCCCTCACGACAGCAGAGGCCCCCACTCTCTAGGGTCTTGATTTCCTTCTCCCACTGCCCTACCATTTCACAAAACAATAGCATTTTTATGCCTGTGCCTTACTTCTTTCTCCTTTGGCAAATGATCTCACGTCACCTGAACAAAGGCTTAGTGTAGGCTATAAAGCACTATCCACAATCAGATGCAGAGGACAGCTATGATGAAGTGAATCTAGAAGCAGTAGAAGCTCAGTACAGCCAGGGATGTAGACTGCAGTCTGTAGAATGTTCTGTGACCACCAAGTGCTCATTGTTTCAATCTAAAATGTTACCTGGAATGAGGTAGGCAATCAATACATTCTTGTTAATGAACTCCCTATTTATGTCTTTATTCTCTTCAGATTGCTCATTTATTTACCTACTCATTCAATGTATATTTATGAATAATTACACAACGCTAGCCACTGCTGCAGGCAGCGGCAATGTTATAGTAAAGGCAACAAACACAACCGGCTGATCTCAAGAAGCTTGCATTCTAGGTCATTCATGGTGGGCTGGAACACGCTGGTGTCAGTGCTTCAGGGCTGATTGTTAAATTTTCAGCTGTTAGGCCTGGCAGGGTGGCTCACGCCTATAATCCCAGCACTTTGGGAGGCTGAGGCGGGCGGATCACGAGGTCAGGAGATCGAGACCATCCTGGCTAACACAGCGAAACCCTGTCTCTACTAAAAATACAAAAAATTAGCCGGACGTGGTGGTAGGTGCCTGTGCTCCCAGCTACTCCGGAGGCTGAGGCAGGAAAATGACGTGAACCCGGGCGGTGGAGCTTGCAGTGAGCCGAGATCGCGCCACTGCACTCCAGCCTGGGCGACAGAGACAGAACGAGACTCCGTCTAAAAAATAGTAATAATAATTTCAGCTGTTAAACACAGCCATTATTAAAAGTTCAATAAATCATATAACTTTACAAATAAATTACATTAAAAACAGAAGTTATAAATACTCAAGACGCATCACTTCCTAATCGCTACCTTTTATTTCTTGGTTCTTGATTATTTCAAGGGTATCAGATAACCGGTGATTAGTACTATCTTTTGGAAAACCCAGCTCAGCGGTTTTCCAACTGAAACTCCCTCTCTCTGATTGGCAGGAGTCAGCCGAAGTAGAGTTCCACGTGTTGGTTGCAGAAGTCGCCCGCCTTCTCCCAGGGGGCTGTTTGCTCGCTTTGACACTGACTGCTCCCCCAACAAACAAGTTTAGCCTGCTCGCCCTTCCCACCGACTGGGGAGAGAAGTCTCAGAGTGCACCGCAGCACAGAAGGCGTGCGGGGACGCACAGGCGCCTGCCTCTGCCGGTGGGAAAGGAAGGAGGTGGCTGGGTTTCCGCTCCAAGGCTCAGCCCGCCTGGGCCACCTACCGTATGGGAGCCTTTAAACGTGGAAAGGAAAGGAGATCGATCACTCGAGCCTCCACTTGCCAAGCCTGTGGAAGCGAGACGCGGGGATCGGCTGGGAATGTCTGGAAGCGCCGGCGCGCGGAGCCAGGTGGGAGGTGCGCGGTGGCGGCGCGGGGATCTTGGGCGACAGGGCACCGAGGGAAGGAGGACGCGAGGGCAGCCGGGCCTGAGGGAGCAGGGAGGGTGGCTCGGGCTCAGTCGCGTGGCCCCAGGTGCGCGGCCTTGGCCCTGCAGCGCCCACCGTGCTGGCCGGGGCCTCGGCTCCGCAGCAGAGGCCGCGGTGGTGGCTGCCGGCGCGGGCGCAGCTGCCTGGGGCTGGGGCGTTTCATCTGCGCGGGCCTGTGGGGCGGGCATCACCCTGGGCCACGCGCTGATATTCTCCATCACACTCAGAAAAAGTTACTCATACGGTGGTCTTATAAAGGGTCTGAAGTGGCCAAATTGTCCCTTTTTAGAAACGGATAGTTTTAGGTCTTAAAGATGTCCTAGGAATTAGCCTTACAAGCCCGGCTATGTCATTTTATGGTAAGGGACACTAAGATCGCGTACAGAGCTTGTCGGAGGGGCTTGGGCTTCTGTCTCAAGCTCAGGGTTGTCTCTTCATTCCAGGAGACCTTGCTCTTCCACGTTTCAGAGTTCATTTTTCCCCTTGTTGAATTCATAGAAGTGTTTTAATTCATATGTTTCTTCTTGTAGGAAGAAGAAATTGTCTAGACGAATAACATGAGGTCATATAGAATCCCACTTTTGGTGATTGCAAGTCAAGAAAGTAAAAGTAAACCATTGCTATCTTTCACCTTAAATATCCTGTGTTTTATTGCTCAGAATATCCAGTTTTTCTAATACTCGTGATGTCAGAAGGGAAACCTCCTGACAAAAAAAGGCCTCGTAGAAGCTTATCCATCAGCAAGAATAAGAAAAAAGCATCTAATTCTATTATTTCGTGTTTTACCAATGTACCACCTGCTAAACTTGCCTGCCCCGTTTGCAGTAAAATGGTGCCTAGATATGACTTAAACCGGCACCTTGATGAAATGTGTGCTAACAATGACTTCGTTCAAGTGGATCCAGGGCAGGTGGGCTTAATAAATTCAAATGTGTCTACAGTAGATTTAACCAGTGTTAACTTAGAAGATGTAACACCAAAGAAGTCACCACCACCAAAGACAAATTTAACCCCTGGCCAAAGCGATTCAGCAAAAATGGACGTAAAGCAGAAGACCAGTCCCTACTTTAAAAGTAAGGATGGTGTGGTGTGCAAAAATCAAGATAAGCTGAGAAATCGTAGTGTGAAAGTCATTTGTTTGGGAAGCCTAGCATCTAAATTGTCCAGAAAATATGTAAAGGCTAAAAAATCAATAGATAAGGATGAAGAATTTGCCAGTTCTAGTCCACAGAGTTCCAGATCCACAGTTGTTAAGAGCCTGGTTGATAACTCTTCAGAAATTGAGGACGAGGATCAAATGTTGGAGAACAGTTCTCAAAAAGAAAACGTGTTTGTATGTGATTCTCTGAAGGAAGAGCGTATTCCCGAACATATGATAAGGGGAAGTAAAATAATGGAAGCCGAAAACCAAAAGGCTACCCAGGAATGTGAGAAATCAGCCCTCAGCCCTGGCTTCTCAGATAATGCAATCATGTTATTTTCACCAGATTTCACTCTTGGGAATACATTAAAGTCTACTTCAGAAGACAGTCTTGTAAAGCAAGAGTGTATCAAAGGAGTGGTTGAAAAACGTGAGGCATGTCCTGAAGAAGTAAAAATGACTGTTGCTTCAGAAGCTAAAATGCAGCTGTCAGATTCAGAGGCAAAATCTCATAGTTCTGCAGATGATGCTTCTGCATGGAGTAACATCCAAGAACCTCCTTTGCAGGATAACAGTTGCTTAAACAATGATATCCCTTGCAGCATTCCTTTGGAGCAGGGGTCAAGCTGCAATGGTCCTGGTCAAACAACTGGTCATCCTTACTACCTTCGGAGTTTCCTTGTGGTGCTGAAAACCGTACTTGAGAATGAAGATGATATGATGCTCTTTGATGAACAGGAGAAGGGAATCGTAACTCAATTTTATCAGTTATCAGGTATCTTACGCACGTGTTTGTTTTCAAGTGTTCATTCCCCTTTTGCTGCTCTGATTGGGGCATGGTGTGATGGGCAGTAATCTAGTGACCGCAAGGAGTCACTGTGGTGGTGTGAGTACCCTGTGGGAGTGTTGATGGTAGTCGGAGCATACTCGAAGGTTTTATTGAGAGGGATGCATGGAAAAGAGACAAGATTTTGTCCCAGGTGATGTTTACTCCTGCTGAACTTTGGTTACATTGGAAGCAGCTGTTTTTCGTTTATAGGTACATTTGTTAGTTATAAAACCACCTTTTCCAGCTTAAAAAAACAATACAATGTGACTTAGAAAAGCATAGTTTGCATTTTGAGCATGTAATCAGGCTTCCCATTAGGTTGTTTAGTTGTTCCTCAAAGATGAAAGTAGAATAAAATACAATACAGGAAAAAAAAAAACTAACCTCAGCATGTTTTCTTTCTCCTAACAACATTTTAGATTCCTGGACTGTGCCTTTTAAAGACAGGGTGTGGAGGAAATGGAAACTTTCAAGCTGAAATTGGTACATTACAAATATTAGTCTATGCCTCAAGTCCTTGGCAGCCAGGGGTGGCTCCAAGCCAGTAGTGCAGGTTTGTAGTAAAAGCCACCCTTGTGTCCTTACAGTGTTATTCAGAGGGCCATGATGGCTCTGTGGAACCATGTCCCTGAGGGCAGGAAAAAACTTACGTGGTGGTCTCACTGTCCTTTAGTAAAATGCAGCCATGTGTGACTCCTCAGTAGATTAAAAAAGAGAAAAATCCTAAACATTACTATTAATGTTTAAGAGAAGGATTTTCGTTTTAAATTCGCACAGTGGAATTATGGTATTCCTTGTGTTACTTTTTAACAATAATTCTTTGGGCACAGCTGTGTGTAGTATCCACTTGCATCTCTACTTCTGCTGTTCTCACCAGAAGATGGACATAATAGCACATCGGCTTTTCTATCCAAACTAGTCACAGATCTTTGGTTGGGTGCTGATTGCATTCCTGTGAGTATTTCAGTGATTGGTGGTTCTGTGCTTCCATGTAATTGAGAAATAGGAACAGTTTTCCTAGTGCAAGTCCTGCATATGCATGTGCCTTGCACTCAGTGGAGAATCATGTACAATCTGTTGGTGTGTAGAAATAATTACTGCTAATTGTTTTTGCCTTTTTATTTTTTTATTTTTAAGTTCTTTTAGAGACAGGGTTTCCGTCTGTCGCCCAGGCTGGAGTGCAGTGGTGTAATCATAGCTCACTGTGACCTTGAACTCTTGGTCCCAAGCGATCCTCCTGCCTCAACCTTCCAAAGCACTGGGATTACAAGCATGAGCCATAGGCTGGGCGTGGTGGCTCACTCCTGTAATCCCAGCACTTTGGGAGGCCGAGGTGGGTAGATGGCCAGAGGTCAGGAGTTCGAGACTAGCCTGACCAACATGGTGAAACCCTGTCTCTACTAAACATACAAAAATTAGCCAGCGTGGTGGCGGGCACCTGTAATCCCAGCTATTTGGGAAGTTGATACAGGAGAATTGCTTGAACCCGGGAGGCAGAAGTTGCAGTGAACTGAGACTGCACCATTGCACTCCAGCCTGGGCAACAAGAGCAAAACTCCATCTCAAAAACAAAGAAAGAAACAAACAAACAAAAAAACCACCAGCATGAGCCATCATGACAGGTCAATTTTGCCTTTTTAAAGAAGAAAGGAAAATAAATGTTGGAAATTTTCAAAATACAATTAAACCATTTTAGAGTTGGCCGAAATTTAAAGATAATCTGGGTAATAGGGAGATTGAAACCAAACAGGTTAATTAGGAAGCTTGGTCAAGATTGCTGGGTTAGAGATGACTGCCCTACTGAAGCTAGACATTTTTTTTTTGGAAAATTATTTCAGATTATTTTCAATTAAATCAGAATAATGCATATTAAGCTAAGAGTGGAGAACAAAATAAGAATTCTGGTTAGGGCTTTTCTGAGGGAGTAGAAATGTTGATGGCTAGAAAAGGGGGAACTTGATTTTAGAAGTTTTAAAATGACCAATAATTGTTACCAAATTTTTAAATGTACTTTCAAAATGGTTTATACCATAAAATGATGGCCTTATACATGCGGTAAGCGTATGTGTATTTCTAAATAGTACATTTACTCACCTTAGGTTTGAAAGGTAAATGTAGTGATTTTCAACGTTTTTCTTAACTTTATTGCAGTTACTGGTCAGAAGTTATATGTAAGGCTCTTTCAACGTAAATTAAGCTGGATTAAGATGACTAAATTAGAATATGAAGAGATTGCCTCAGACTTAACACCTGTGATTGAAGAATTGAAGAATGCAGGCTTTCTACAGACAGGTATGACTAGTAGAAGGAAATGTGAAATGAAAATATGATCTGAAGAACTGAGCTTCTGCAGAATGGTGGCAATATTATTATGGTGCCCTCCCCTGGGTGGTGCCTGGTAACTTGCTATTTTTTAATTGAATTTTTAATCTTAGGATAACAAATTATTCATGTAATGCTAAAGCCTTTCTTAGCCTGAGTTAAGAATACTAGAATAATGGAAGGTGGTCTGCTGCTGTTTTCTTGACTGTGGCAGGTTTAGAATGAAAGTCACCTAGAGATAGACGTGGGTGTGTGCCACGGAAGAAGTACATCCTGGCCGGGCACAGTGGCTCATGCCTGTAATCCCAGCACTTTGGGAGGCCAAAGCAGGTGGATCACGTGAGGTTGGGAGTTCGAGACCAGCCTGACCAACATGGAGAAACTGTGTCTCTACTAAAAATACAAAATTAGCCAGGTGTGGTGGCGCATGCCTGTAATCCCAGCTGCTTGGGAGGCTGCGGCAGGAGAATCACTTGAACCCGGGAGGCGAGTTCAAGTTGTGGTGAGCCGAGATTGCACCGTTGCACTCCAGCCCGGGCAACCAGAGTGAAACTCCGTCTCAAAAAAAAAAAAATACATCCCTTCTTGGCACTCTCCTTCCAGCAAGAACTTGACTCATCTTAGTCAGAGTCCTCATCTTTATGATAGAATAAAGCTGGTTGTTTGAAACCAGTATTGCCTCGGAGTACTTCATCTGCCCCCCACCCCGTTCACACACATACAGCTCTTCGATTATGCTGATTGCCTGAAGCATTGTCGAATTGCTTTAAGCCTATGTGAACACTAAGGAGAGTCTATCTTCTGCAGTGATACCCTTCGTTGTCTTGTCAGTAGCATTCATTAAGTACCTACCCATGTACTGGGTACAAAATTGTACCGTATTAGGAAAGGGAAATGTGAGCCTTCAGTTCAAGTTGCTGACATTTTAGACCAAAATAAGCAAATCAGCCAGATGGTTTCTTTGGGGCAGAGTTTGTTGTGGGGAGCAGTAAGTGGGATGAAGCGAAGTGAGCAGGAAGCGTGTTAGGGTGATTGTTAGGGTGGGGCCGGATGGGGTGGGATGGGGAAAGTTGCGGGAGAGGCATAAAAGCTCAGTGAAGGAGCTTGGATGTGAACGGTTAGTGGTGGGACACAGGACCCTCTGCAGAGCAGCGCTTCCCACACATCAGTGCCAGCAGGGTCACCGGGGGACTTGATACTCAGTCCCCACCCAACTTGGAAAATGTGCAGATTCCATAAATTAATATGTCTGACAGGCATGCCAAGTGACTGCTGTGGGTGAGCCTTGACTTACCTTCAAATGAGCAACAAAACCAGGATTCTGGTGGCTCACTGTGGCACTCAGTTAAGTGCAAGTCCCACCCATGCTCCAGCCCTGTGGGGCCTGGCTCTGGCTGTCCCTCTCGCTCTCTGCCACGGCCACCCAGCCCTCAGTGTTCTTCACCAGCATGAGCGCATCCCTGTGTCAGAGCCTTGCACTTTCCCCTCCACCCAGGTCAGTTTCTAACACGTGGCCACGTGGCAGAGTCCTCCTTTCCTTCACCTCTGCGTGGTGTCGCCTCGTCAGAGGTTTGCCTGACTGTACAATGTGAAATACGGCCAGCCTCCTGCCAGCTTCGGTTTGCCTCCCCAAGTTGTGTTTTTCTTTAGAGCGGTTATTACCACCTGATAAATATGCCTATTCATTTAATTATTATGCTGGGAGGCTAGCTCCTGTGGATGGGATTGCTTTCACTGTAGCACGCCCGGGACCTTAGAACATTACCAGGCAGACAGTGTACACCCAATAAATATTTGCTGAACGGGGGAAGAAGGCACTGCCCTAAACTGTGAAGCCTTGAAGGCAAAGACCAGTGAAGTCTGATGGAGCCGAATTCCTAGGCCAAGGTGGGTGTCGGGGCCCACAATAGTCAAACAGGCTCATGAATGCCAAGTGAGCAAGAGAGGCTCTTGTGGGAAGAAGAGGGCTGATGCTCAGTTTCTCTGACCTGGTTTGAGAGGTCCCGTTTTGTAGGGGTTTTGTGAAGAGAAAGGCAGGGAGTATATATTCCAAGCAAGTGTTGAGATGCCCAAACCATAATGGCTATCCATGTGTGCCTTTATTTTAGTCACATTTTCCTTTAGATTTTAGTGAGAAATTCTATTATTCAATAACCCTTTTAAAGAGATATGATAGCATTATTAATATGTTAATAATTCCACATTTAATGATTGGTTTGGCCAACTAATTAAAATTTTCCTAGTAGAATTTCATTTTATTTTCATCTAAGGGAAATTAAGCTAGAAAATAGTAAAATTTTAAAACACTTTTTTTTTTTTTTTAACCATTTCAGAATCTGAGTTGCAAGAACTCTCTGAAGTGCTTGAGCTCCTTTCTGCTCCTGAACTAAAATCCCTGGCCAAGACCTTCCATTTGGTGAATCCCAATGGACAGAAACAGCAGCTGGTGGACGCCTTTCTCAAATTGGCCAAACAGCGTTCAGTCTGCACTTGGGGCAAGAATAAGCCTGGAATTGGTGCAGTGATTTTAAAAAGGTTTTGTTGGCTATCATTACAGTAAAAACGTTTAAAATGTTGATAGCACATATTAACTTACAGTAGATTGTATACTTGATTTAACTGTAATTGTATATTTCAGTTGCAATTAGATTGAGAAGGCTGGAAAAGTCTTAATTGCAATAGCCTGGATTCTTTCTTGGGTTATTATTCAAAATTTTTGTCATAACACTGTGTTAATTTCCATGACCAAGAAAAATCGGAAGGCAATAGGGCCTTTGGTAAATTCTATTATTTTATTTTCAGAGAAAAATACAGTTTTAAGTGATTCTTACAGGATTTTAGGCTAAACTATTAAGTCAAATTTTTATGTTAGTAAAGTTTTTGTTTACTAAACAAAGTGTAATCAGGGAGTCTTAATGTGCAAGTTTTCATGAGTTTAAACATAACAGTTTACCAAACACTGTGAGTGGCTTCTTTTGTCCTTGAGAAGCCCTTGACCTATTTCAGTTGAAAATTACAAAAACTTTTAGAATTGATTTCTTTTGCCCATGTTATTTATATAATCAAACTATATCAACTTTAGTCTGGGAATTCACTACTCTGGAGTCACTGAGGATGAAATGAGAGGATGCTTTTAAAAAACACTTCAAAATTATGTTGTTATTTATTTTCTATGTTTATTTTGTATATTTCAGTTGTTATGAGCCCATCCTTGTTGGAGAGGTGCTATAAATACTAATCTTTAATGAAACATAGGTATAATAAGGCAGACGTTAAGAAAAACGTCAATACAACACTTCAAAAAGCCTTGTATTACAGATTTTTAAAAAGTACTTTAATAAATCACATATTTGTAATTAATTGACTTGAGAAGTATAGAATCCTCATCTGTGTGGTATGTTAAATGTCTTCTAAGTCCTTTCTTTATCTAATTGTATTTCTTAAGTATTTGATGTTAACCTTATATGTAACATTTTATAGGCAAGTAAACATTAAAGTTAGCAGCTCTCTGGCTGGGCACAGTGGCTCATACCTGTAATTCTAGCACTTTGGGAGGCCGAGGCAGGTGAATCACAAGATCAGGAGTTCAAGACCAGCCTGGCCAATATGGTGAAACCCTGTCTCTATTAAAAATACGAAAATTAGCCTGGCGTGGTGGCACGTGGCTGTAATCCCAGCTCCCTGGGGGGCTGAGGCAGGAGACTTGCCTGACCTGCGAGGTAGAGGTTGCAGTGAGCTGAGATCGCGCCACTGCACTCCAGCCTGGGTGACAAGAGCGAGACTCCATCTTAAAAAAAAAAAAAAAAAAAAATTAGCAACCGTTTCTTGGTATATACACTTAGCATAGAACAGCTAAAATAAATAAGATGAACGTATTTTATCACTGACTTTGGACTTGTAGGAAAATAGAATCTTCAAGGCTGTTTTAGTTCTAGTAAAAACCACTGTCCTTTAAGGTTGTCCTTTATTTTTTCATTCTGATGTAAAGCCCAGCAGTGGAATTTCAGGGCAGTTGCCTGGTGCTCTTACTCTGCTGTTATAATGAAGACAGGAAAAGCACATTATTTATGCTTTTTTAATCCTTGCAGGAGTCACTGCTTAGTTTTCTGCGTTTAATGCTTCCTTTTCCAGGCTGGAGGCTGTGTCCACTGGGGGCGTCCCTGGGACTCTGCATGGAGGTGGATGAAATGGGTACTTTGGGGCAGTGTGTAGATGAGTGGCTCTCAATTCAGTGGTGGTGTAATAGGAATCCCACCTCTTCCCCTTCAACTCCGTGATGGTGGCACTCATCTCTCCCACACCCTCAGGGATGCAGTGCTGCTTTTGATTTAGTAGCTTCTGCACCAGGAGGGTGTGACATCTTTCATTAGGCCAGTGGTTCTCAACTGGGGGCATCTGGCATCATCTGGAGACATTTTTGGTTGTTGGTACTGGAGGTGATGAAGCTAATGGCATCTAGTGAATAGAGGCCAGGGACAGGACACTGCAGAGCATCCTATAATTTATAGGACAGCCCCTGACAACAAAGAATTATCTAGCCTAAATGTCAATAGTGCTGACGCTGAAAAACCCTGCTATTGATGGTGTCTAAGCTGCTAGAGTCAGAGGGCCCACATGGTCCTGGGTTTAATTTAGACCTCCAAGCCCACCTTGCAGACATCCAGAATGGAACTGAATTCACTCCAGTGTTATCCTAGAATAGAGATGCTGCTGGACCATTCTGTACACTAGAGCAGGGGTCTGCAACCCCAGGCCAGGGACAGATAATTGTCCATTGCCTGTTAGGAACTGGGCCACACAGCAGAAGGTGAGCAGTGTGCCAGACAGCATGACCTCCTGAGCTTTACCTCCTGTCAGGAATGCGAACCCGATTGTGAACTGTGCATGTGAGGGATCTAGGCTGCATTCCTTATGAGAATCTATTGCTTGATGATCTGAAGTGTAACAGTTTCATCCCGAAATACCTCCCCCAACCCCAGTCCATGGAAAAATTCTCTTCCATGAAACCACTCCTTGGTGCCAAAAGCGTTGCTGACTGCTGCATTAGAGAACAGCACCAAACTGCAGTGTATACATTTGCACCACATCTTGGTACACAAAATCCGATGTTTTACCCAGAGCCTTTGATAATGACATTTTAAAGAAATACCATTATTTAATCTAAATCATCACTTGAGTAAAAAATTGAGAATTGCTTCATGTTGACTAGGTAATACTTTTCTGAAAGATTTCCTGGTATGTGAAGCACTCATGACCAGGGTAAACCCCATCCTACTGTGTGGCCGAGGAAGGAAGCACTTGTATGGAGCCAAACCATGAGTGGAACCATTTGGAGATGTACATTCATTTACTCCTGTGTATCCCTGGGTGAGCTCTCAGTCCCAGAGCAGTTAAGTAATGCTCCAGTGTTTAAAATAGTGAATGTCATTTCTCTTTATTTTAGATGAAAATAATTTGTAAAATCTGACATCCAAATGATTAAAAAGCTAAAAGTTGTTTCTACATTGTACATTTTTCAGAGCCAAAGCCTTGGCTGGACAGTCAATACGAATCTGTAAAGGCCCCAGGGCTGTGTTTTCCCGGATCTTGCTGTTGTTTTCGTTGACCGACTCCATGGAAGATGAAGACGCCGCTTGTGGAGGTCAGGGACAGCTTTCAACGGTCCTGTTGGTCAACCTTGGCCGAATGGAGTTTCCTACTTACACCATCAATCGGAAAACCCAAATCTTCCAAGACAGAGATGATCTTATCAGGTAAGATGATGTTAGCTCATTATTATATCTATATGTGTATTTCACAATGTAGTAAAAGGTTTATTATTTTTTTTCCAGCCAAAATAGAAACATTAAGTCCACAGCCAAAACAGTTTTTAATCATTTTTTGCCCCACTTATATACATTTCTATGATTGTAGGGAAAACGTAGAAGTGTGCTGAGATTATGGTTGCCAAAACCCAAGGAATTTTGAATTAGAACTACAAAAACTTTCTCTGGTTTATGTTTCCAAGTACCTTTGGAAGGGAGTATTTTTTGTTTGTTTGTTTGTTTTAATTTAAGACAGGATTTCGCCCAGGCTGGAGTGCGGTGGCATGATCATGGCTCACTGTAGCCTCGACCTCCTGGGCCCAAGTGATCCTCCTACCTCAGCCTCCCAAGTAGCTGGGACCACGGGCACATGCCAGCACACTCAGCTAGTTTTTGTATTTTTTTGGTAAAGATGGGGTTTCACCATGTTGCCCAGGCTGGTCTCAAATTCCTGGACTCAAGCAGTCCGCCCACCTTGGCCTCCCAAAGTGCTGGGATTATAGACATGAGCCACCACCCTCGGCCTGTATTTTTTGACACAGACATTTTAACAGACTTGGCTTATGAATATGTTGTTGGTATGAACAAGACTGAAGATGAATGTTTTCTTATTAATAACACTTTAGGTAAAGCTATTAATGACTTGTATACTGTATATCATACATATGATAATTAGATATACAGATGATAAATTAGAAATTGTCACTAATGTATATTGGCACATGGATTTAGTGAAAATTTGGTTTGTCCAATAAAAGTAGTTTCTGAACTAAAAGAACTACCATGTGATCCACCAATCCCACTACTGGGTATATACCCAAAGGAAAAGAAATTGGTATATTGAAGAAATATCTGTACTCCTATGTTTATTGCAGTCTATTCACAATAGCCAAGATGTGGAATCAACCTAAGTGTCCATCAGTGGATGAATGGATTAAAACAATGTGGTACATATACACAATGGAGTACTATTGAGCCATAAAAAAGAATGAAATTCTCTCATGGTGGCAACATGGATGAGCTCAGAGGACAGTATGTTATGTGAAATAAGCCAGGCACAGAAAGACAAATACTGCATGTTCCCACTCATATGTGGGAGGTAAAAAAGTGGATCTCACAGAAGTAGAGAGTAGAATAGTGGTTACCAGAGGCTGGGAAAGATAGAGGGGAGGGGGACACGGAAAGGTTGGTTAACAGACACAAAAGTGCAGCTAGATAGAAGGAATAAGTTCTGTTGTTCCATAGCAGTGTAGGATGACTATAACAACAGTTTATTATATATTTTTAAATAGAAGAATGGATTTAGAATATTCCCAACACAAAGAAATGATAAATATTTGAGGCAATGCCTGGTATGGCAACACATGCCTATATTTCTAACCACTCGGGAGGCTGGGGCAGGAGGGTCACTTGAGTCCAGAAATTCAGGACTAGCCCAGGCAACATAATGAGACCCCATCTCTAAAACATTTTTAGAAAAGTTTGAGGTGCTGGATATGCTAATTACCCTAGTTTGATCATTATACATTGCATATATGCATTGAAGTATCGTACTGTGCCACATAAATATGTGCAATTTTATGTTAATTAAGAATAATAATAGATGCCAAACAAAATAATGGGATTACAGTATTAAAAAGCAGGTTTTGAAAAGAAAGAATAGTGTAGGTCTTACAGAAAAAAAATTTGGATTTCCTTAAAAAAAAAACCTTTGATAAAAACAATTAATTTGGATTTCCTAAAATGTCACTTGATTCTTGATTTGGATTTCTGACTCAAATTTAACCAAATTTGATTCTGATATTTGCTTTTAGGAAAGTCCTTGAAGTGTTTCTAGGAAAGCCATGTGCTTTAAGAAGTAAGTTACTGAAATTTTTGGATCACAGCAGCGTCAGTATAATCTGATTTTGCCCATTTTACCTTAGCTGTCAGGACGCTCAGTATCTTATTTGTGTTCAATTGGAATAACTTTTTTAGTTAAAACCTCTAATAAGATATTTCTTCTTACCCTGTTTTCAGTTGTCTCATATCTTCTTTACCTTTTTTGTTTTTATTGGCTTTATGTTTTTCTGGCTTTTGAGAGTGTATACTCTGAAGCCAAGTTCCAGTTTCTATACCAATGAACTGTGAACTCACCCTGTGCCTCAGTTTCCTCATCTGTCAAATGGGGAGAATAATAGTATATTTTTATAGACATGAGTGGGGTGAATGGGAAGTGCTTAGAGCCTGGCCTATGAGGAATGGCTACTACATGTTTGTTATTATTTTAATTGTCATTATTAATGTTATACCCAAGTTCTATGACAAAACCACGGTTGACAAGTTCAAAAGGCGTCTCATATTCTTTCTAGAAAGTAAGTGTGCTGTAGATAATAAAAATAATGAAAACTCCCTTGGTTAAACAGAGGGCTTTAACATATAAATGAAAATGGATTTAATTGACTTCTGGAAAAGGTAATAGTATACAATATCTGGTAATGTGATACCTGGCCAGGAAACTCTTGTTGTCTACCTCTGTACTTGAGATAATTTATCCTTTTAAAATTTTTCTCATTCATTCAGTACAAATGAGTGTTGAGTACCTATTATGTGACTTGGTTAGGGGTTGTAGCAGTGCACAAGAGAGGGCCTCGGCCGTCATGGGGCTATGTTTCCCTGAGGAGATAGAAAATAAACAATATTTCAAGTGTGTGAGAAGTGCTGTGATAATTGAGAGGCAGGCTGGAGAAGTTCTTTATCGACAGAGTGGCCCTGGAGAGGTGACATTTGAAGTGAGACTTGAGGATGAGAATGAGGTAGCCGTGTCAGGGTCTGGGTGCCTGCATGCACGGCACAGGGCCATGTGCACAGGCCCTGAGGCAGGAAAGAGCTTGCTGAGTTGGAGGAACTCAGGAGACCCCTGGCTAAGATTGGGGGGGTGGCCAGGACTGGGTTGGTGGCAGCGGCAGTGGAGAGAAGTGAATGTGTGTGAGGCAGTTGGGAAGCAGAAAAGACAAGACTTGATTCTGATGTGGGCGAGGAGAGGAGTGGATCAAGGATGGCTCTGGTGTTTTGCCTTGGGTGGCGCGCCATCCACTGAGGGGGATTGGTGCTGGAGGCGTCAGTGTGTGGGGTGCTCTTCAGCCGTTTGGTTGAAGCTGTCGTGTGTGGCACTGGACTTGCCCTCAGGAGCTCAGGGAATGGGTCTGGCCTGGAAAAAGTCAACATTTTGAGAGTCACTGGAATATGGACAGTGTTTGAAGCCATGGAACTGAATGAACAGCATATTATAAAAGAATTAGATCTAAGAATTTGTGTGCAAAATTTGACATTTGGAGGCAGTTTCTTTACTCACTTTACAGTGTTTGTATATACTGATATTTTGTGCTTTAGGCTTTTCTTTTAGATATGAGACCAAAATACAATGAACATGTACTCAAAGTGTTAACAGAATTTGCTGGTCAAATGTCTTTGTGTTTTGGTAGCTAAAGGAGCGATGAAAAATTGTCTTTCTTAAGCTAAGTTGTGTTGTGACGTTTCAGCATTGCCATCTCCCAAAGAGCATCCCTTAGTTATTTTGAAATATTCCAGGTAATTCTTTTAGCTTGGGCAGCATCCCTCTGGCTGGCTCTGATTGTAAATGATTAAATCATCAGATCTACCTCTGACTGTAATTCTGACGTCACTTACATGTTTGCTGTCACATTGTTGAATGAGTGAATAGATGAGTGCCAGAATCAGGAAGGATGAGCTGATCCGTATCACATTGATAGAATGGAACATGTTATGTAATGATACAGCATAAATGTTTTTATCTTTCCACTTGGGCTTTCTGTATCAGTTCTGGGCCACTCCAGTGATGTAGTTAAGAGAAATGATTACTAGAATAAAATGTAAGTGGCCCTCATATTTTAAAAAACACACTTCTGCCTTTCAAAGTGAGATCTAGTGGCTAGGATGTGGTCATTCTATGGGAATGCTTATTCTTATTTGGAAGTTGGATGGCATTTTCCTCTAGATATGCAGCAGCCACGCACATGCTGAGTGACATTTCTTCTGCAATGGCCAACGGGAACTGGGAAGAAGCTAAGGAGCTCGCTCAGTGTGCAAAAAGGGATTGGAACAGACTGAAAAACCACCCTTCTCTGAGGTGAGAGTTTTTCTAGGTGCCTGCCAAAATTTATACATTGACCAGGTTGTTCCAAACACTTACAGTAGCTTTCTTCATGAAGAATATACTCCTTTTGCTCTGTGGTTAAACCAGCTGTGGAATTGAATTTTGTACCCGCTTTGTCTAGAGTGAAAGTGCTATGTGCCATAGAAGGATATGTCTGAAGGTTTAAAGTGAATTTGATATAACTCAGATCCTTGGGCAACACACATGCCAACCCCATACTTGGCTGGTCACATGCCATCTGTAGGGGTGTTGGCCTCCCTGAGTACTGGTGAGCTGAACTGAAACGTGAGGGAAGCCAGCAGCAGGACGAATGTGGGAAGCATGGTAGGTGTGTTCTTCTGAAGGACATTCAAGTAGGTGTTACAAACTCTGCAAAAGACAGCTCAAGCGAACTTCAGAGTTTCAGATACACAGCACATGATCTTTTATTTTGTTTGAAAATGGTAAACATCTTCAATATTTGTTAAGACATTTTTTCCTTTGTTGTTACATAGTGATGAGAAAAATTAGTATTTTCAGATGCCACTTTCAAAAAATCATTTAGGATATACAGTTGACCCTTGAATAATGCAGGGGTTGGGGTACCGACCCCTCAGACAGTCAAGAATCTGTATGTAACATTTGACTTCCGCACTACTTAATTAATAGCTTACTGTTGACTGGAAGCCCTACCGATTACATAGTCAGTTAACACACATTGGATATGTTACATGTATTATATGCTGTATTCTTATAATGAAGTAAGCTAGGGAAAAGAATGTGTTATTAAAAAAATCATAAGGGGGCCGGCACGGTGGCTCACACCTATAATCCCAGCACTCTGGGAGACAGAGGTGGGTGGATCACCTGAGGTCAGGAGTTCAAGACCAGCCTGACCAACGTAGAGAAACCTCGTCTCTACTAAACATACAAAATTAGCCGGACCTGGTGGCACCTGCCTGTAATCCCAGCTACTCAGGAGTCTGAGGCAGGAGAATCGCTTGAAGCCAGGAGGCAGAGGTTGTGGTGAGATCACGTCCTTGCACTCCAGTCTGGGCAACGAGCAAAACTCTGTCTCAAAAAAATAAATAAATAAATAAAATAAATAAAAAGGGGCTGGGCGTGGTGGCTCATGCCTGTAATCCCAGCACTTTGGGAGGCCAAGGTGGGTCAGGAGTTCGAGACTAGCCTGGCCAACATGGTGAAACCTCGTCTCTACTAAAAATACAAAAATTAGCTGGGTGTTGTGGCAGGTGCCTGTAATCCCAGCTACTCAGAAGGCTGAGGCAGGAGAATCACATGAACTTGGGAGACAGAGGTTGCAGTGAGCCGAGATTGCGCCACCGCACTTCAGCCTGGGTGACAGAGTGAGACTCCATCTCAAAAAAAAAAAAAAATCATAAGGAAGAGAAAACATATTCACTGTTCATTAGGTGGAAGTGGATCATCATGAAGGCCTTCATCCTTGTTGTCTTCACATTGAGTAGGCTGCAGAGGAGGAGGAAGAGGAGGGGTTGGTCTTGCTGCCTCAGGGGTGGCAGGGGCAGAAGAAAATCCACATGTAAGTGGAGCCATGCAGTTTAAACCCATGTTGTCCAGGGGTCAACTGTATATTTATAAAGAAATAATACTGACTTAAAAATCACAGGAAGTTAGATTACTATAAACAGAGGTTGGTAAACTTCTGTAAAAGGTCACATAGTGAATATTTTAGGCTTTGCAGGCCGTGTGGTCTCTGTGGCACCAAATTTACTCTGCTGTTGTAGCGCAAAAGCAGCCACAAGAAGTATGTATGCAAATGAATGAGCCTGGCTGTGTTCCAGTTAACTTCATTTGTGAACATCGGATTTGGGTTTCCATATAATTTTCGTCTACCAAAGTGTATTATTCTCTTGGATTTATTTTAACAATTTAAAAACGTAAAAATCATTCTTAGTTTGCAGGACGTAGAAAATCAGGTGGCAGGCCCTGGGTTTGGCTGTGGGCCGGAGTTCGCTGACCTTGGTTTAGAATGACCAGTTCTCATCTTACTCCACTGTCTGAGTGACCTAGGACGTGGCAGCTGGCTGTGAGAATGTAGGTTTGTGGTGTAGAAAATTGTACACAACTGAAAGTTATTTAGAATGTATGTTTTTAAAAGATAGGAATTCAGTCTTTGTCACTTCTTGTCTTATAACAAATTAACCAAATTATTAAACTACTGGTATATGTCTTCATTTTAGATGCCACGAAGATTTGCCACTCTTTCTGCGGTGTTTTACTGTTGGGTGGATTTATACAAGGATTTTGTCTCTGTTTGTGGAAATACTGCAGAGACTTCACATGTATGAGGTTAGAGCACAGGTCCCTGTCCCCCTCCCCTCCCCCGTGCCCCACTGCTGATTTGACGGTGTTAAGCATGTAAGGGACAGCTGTCGGGATCAGCATTTTCTACTTATTTGGTTAGCACACGGTAATATAAGGGAGGCATATTTGTTTTGCTTTGTCTTTTTGAGACAGGGTCTCACTCTTCACTTAGGCTGGGGTGCAATGGCACGGTTCAGCTTACTGCAGCCTCTACCTCCCGGGCTCAAGTCATCCTCCTGCCTCAGCCTCCTGAGCAGCTGGGACTACAGGAGTGCACTACCATGCCTACCTTATTTTTGTATTTTTAGTAGAGGTGAGGTTTCACCATGTTGCTCAGGCTGATCTTGAACTCCTGGTCTCAAGTGATTTGCCCACCTTGACCTCTGATGCTTTGAAGTGGGGGGCCTGAAGTGTTGGGATTACAGGTGTGAGCCACTGTGCCTGGCCAACGAGGGCATATTTAATGTAGGCAGCCCGCTGTCTCTTGGATTAGTATAGAGAAGAAGGTGAAGACGGACAGCTATTCTGTTTGCCTGTGTGTTGATGAATCTGTGTCCCAGGACAGCCTAGGGGTGGCGGCCAGCATCCTGGAGGGTGCCCCACAGGTCTGCAGCCTGAGCCTGAGTCTCTTTCAGAACTCCGTGTGAGACTTGGGAGGTCCCCAGAAATCTCTGAGGGAGAAATCTCCCGTTTCCTTACTCTTCCCTGTCAGCTCTCATGGATTGTCTGGAGATAATTTATAATCACAAATCAGAAATCTGTCATATCCTTATACTAAACTTTGTGAAATTGCTAGATTTCACTTATGTTGTGTTTGATATTTCTATATTGAAAATACTATCTCCAGACCAGGCATAGTCAAAAATATATGTATCAAAAACAAGAAGAAAAGAAAATGGGATCTTACAAAGAGGATGTGCGAAGCTGGGTTCTTGGCGTGTGGTCTGTGCATCCCGGGGGATCGATGGGTGGGCTTTGGGGAAATCTGTGAATCTCAAACTTGCATGTGTATGGGGGTTTACACATTTTTGGGGGGTAAATCATTCCATATTGCAAAGACGTCCATAAGCCACAGAAGATGAACAAACAGAATGACCGAACAGTCTGTACATAATCTAAGACCAGAGAGTGTCCCTGTTGAGTTGAAGTGTTTGTATGAGGACACCCCTAATTCCTTTCCTGCCCACCCCAAATCCCTCTTGCAGTTGGTCCTGTGACCTGCTGTGTTCCCAGAAGTATGTGGGTTTGCCAACTGTGACCAGTGCTCAGCTGCCTGGAGCTTGACTCTGTGTGACTCTGCACTAGTTGACTGGTTTGCAGAGAACATTCTGCAGCACTCACAGATGCCTGTACCCCAGTGCCAGCCGGCAGGGACCCGGTGAAAAGTAAGGATGCCTCAGGGAACTCACACCCGCTCCAGAAGGCACCTCAAAGTCCCTGTCCTGTCAGTTCCGGGTCCTTGGCCTCATTGTAGAATGGAAAGATACACATTATAAATAGGCTTTACCAATCCTATGGGCTTGTAAATGTCATTACAGCTGGATTTTCTGTGACTCTAACGAGCTTTCTTTGTTATTGTTGCCATAGGAAGCCGTCAGAGAACTTGAAAGCCTTTTGTCTCAGAGAATTTACTGTCCTGACAGCAGAGGCCGATGGTGGGATCGACTGGCCCTGAACTTACACCAGCACTTGAAGCGCCTGGAACCGGTACTCAGTAATGAAACACACCTGAAACGCCTTTTCATTTTGGAATCAGCTTTTAAAATATGGCAAACTTAAATGCCTTAAAATCTTACAACATGTATTTCGTTTGTTAACATTCTTCTTTTGTCTGTGTTCTTCCAACCCCAAAATACCAGGGATGCCAGCACAGCCTGAGCACAGAGACTTCAACCTGGGCGACAGAAGCTTTTGTCTTCTCTTCGCTGATTGGCGAGATGGGCTGGCTGTGGACTCTGTGCTGGGATTTAGGAATCAGGATCTAGGAATTAAGGGAGACGGAGAGTCAGACGACTCAGCCGTCAGCAAGTGCCTTCAAGGAAGGCGTTTGTTTTGGAAATAGTGACTTTGTTCATTTGTGGCACAGGGTCTGCAGGTAGAAAGATTGGCGAGAAATTGTTCCTTTCCTTGTCTTACTGCAGGTCCTTTATTCGTGACTCTGTGCTTCTGTGAGGTGTTTGGCTCTGCCATTGGGAAGCGCTGTTTGACCTTGAGCAGGCACCAGTGCTCCCTGTGGTGGCGACCTTGGGGGCACTTGGAAGCCCAGGGATACTGTGGCCACTGCAGGCAGGCAGGGTGAGGCCGCAGAACCTGTGCCTCTGGGCTAGGCAGCAACAGTGGTTCTTTGTGTGGCCGCCAGCAGGCCCCACCCTGTCTCTCTTCCAGCCTTGCATTTGAGTTGAATGGAGGGGACTGTGCCTCTGGGAGCTTTTGATTTTTTCAGTGGCCCATTAAGTGAATCGGGGTGATGTAGGGGTGGAAAAAAATGACCACGGGATAGGAAATATGACATCTTGTTTTTATTGCCGTAAACTGAAAAAGTGCCTTGTTACCTAAAGTATCAGGGAAAGAGCCAGTAAAGCTATTTCCTCCCATGGAGGAGGGCGTGGGGCTTCCTTACCACTCAGTGTTTACTGAGGCTGAAATAGCAAGAGAAAGCATCTGGTAGCCCAGAACCAAATACAGAAGGAGAAAGCTTGTGTTTGTCACCTTTCTTTCAATGAAATAAAAGTTCAAGAGAGTACAGATTTCCCCTCTGTTCACAGTTCTGCTAGGGGGTAGACAAGCCACTGAGCTTATTTTTGAGATTTGAGCTAAGCCTGGTTCCTCCTAACCTGTTCCCAGAGGTCTTACTGGTCACACTCACAGCTCTTGTTATTTCATTAGTGTTCTTTCATCTTTACCTCAGTCTCCAAGGAAGGGATCTCCTCGCTGAGTGCTTGTTCCTGCAAAGTGCCCTGCAGCCAGCCCAGGCCTGGCCAGGGCAGAGGTGGAGCCAGCTGGGCCCTCCCTCTCCGAGGCCAGGCTGCCGCTGCCCGGCACCGTCTTCTGCCAGCGAACAGGGTGCCCTTCAGAGTCTCATTCTCCCATTTTCATTCCTTTCAGCTACTCAACTCTGGATGGCCTGAGCCTTCACTGATTTTCAATGTCTTGGTTTTTATTTTTTCTTTCACTTTTTATGTTTCTATCGTGGTAAAATAAATTTAACATCCCTAAAATTTGGCATTTTAGCCATTTTTAGGTGTACAGTTCAGTGGCATTCATGGCACTCAAAACGTGTGACCACTGCCTCTCCACTGATCACTCCAAACAGATACACTGCAGCCATTAGGCAACTACGCCCCACTTTCCCTTCCCCCAGCCCTGGTGACCTCTCATCTACTTTTTGTGTCTGTGACTGTGCCGTTCATTTCATTCATTTCATTGAAGTGGAATCCTACGATATTTGTGGTTTTGCGTCTGGTGTATTTTGCTCAGCATCATGTTCCTGAGCTTCACCCGCATTGTGGCATGTGTCAGGCCTCCGTTCCTTTTCCAGGCTGAACACACTTCCACTGTAGCATCTGACACCACATTTTCCTAGCCACTCATTGCTCGATGGACGCTGGGTTCCTTCCACCTTTTCAGCCATTTTTAAGAGTGCTGTATGAACCTCTTTCAGACCCTGCTTTCAGTTCCTTTCGGAATACCTGTGCGTGGAATTGCTGGGTCCTGTGGTGATTCTGTGTTGAGCTTTTTGAGGAGTGGCAGAACTGTTTTTCACAGTGTTTACACCAGTTTCACATTCCCACCAGCAATGTGTGAGGGTTCCGGTTTCTCTACCTCTTTGCCAGCACTTACTTTCCATGTTTCTGATTATAGCCATCCTAGTAAGTGTGAAGTGGTGTCTCCTTGTGGCTTTCTGTATTTGTTTGTTGATTTGTCCAACTCTGAATCGCCTTGGGAAATACTTGTAACTCCTCCAAACCTTTGGCTCCTGTCCCTGTAAATAAGGAATCTGAAGCAGCTCCATGGTGCCTGACTGCATATGAGATTCACCTGGAGCTTTGAGGTGCCCCCCTCCCCCACCCCCCCACGGCTGGGCTCCTGCTCTGGAGGGTCTCATTGTGTGGATCCGGGGCGGGACGCATGCTTTCCTGCAAAGCTGCCTAGGTGATGTCCTGAGAACCACTGAGCCGAGCTTTCCTGTAAAGTCAGGCATCCCTGAAGTTCACACCCTCTGTGAGGGGCGGCTGCTGGCATCTGCAGTCCACCTGGATTACAGCCCAGTCATGCTCCAGCACGTTGACTGTGAAGGCTCTGGTTGCCGGATGCATTGAAAGCATCAAAATAAGATCTAAGGAAACAGCCTAAATCTCTAGAGGTGCTGTTTGCTTATCTGCTAATCAGCAAAATTCAATAATAAACAGTGGGCTTTTCTGTCAAACTAAATGCGTGGAAGCTGCTGTGGGGTTTTCTAGGAGCCTGATGTGTGGCCATGCTCTCTGCCAGACTATCAAGTGCATCACAGAGGGGCTGGCGGATCCGGAAGTCAGAACGGGACACCGCCTTTCACTCTATCAGCGAGCCGTGCGCCTGCGGGAGTCTCCGAGCTGTAAAAAGTTCAGGCGCCTCTTCCAGCAGCTCCCAGAAATGGCTGTGCAAGATGTGAAACACGTGAGGAAAGAGCCTTTGGGTGCTTTGGACTTAGGCGTGTCTGCCTGGTTTTTCTGGAGCAGAAGCAACCTAAGAGCTGTTTTGAGTGTGTGTTTTCTGTGAGACTCGGAATCATCTAAAACTCGTTCTGGACGGCTGTGTGGCCATTGCTCCCAGTCTCCCCGTCGCCCTCCTCCCTGAGGAGACTTGGCTGCTTGGTGTCACACCCTGGGTTGAGTGACAGATCTCCTGAATGGGGCCTCTCAGCATCTGCCAGTTTCATTTACTCGTTGGGGGCCTGTAGAGCAGTTCTGGTGGTTGAGGCTCTCCCAGGGCCGGCCAGCGAGCTGTCGCATCCCCGCAGGTGTGCGTGTGTGAGCCCCACGCTGTGTGCTCTGCTAAGTGACTGGCTTTGTGGTTAGGGAGGTCAGTCCTTGGGATGCTAGAAGCAGGTTTTCAGGGACTTTTGCTGACCTGAGGCTGACAGATGTTCTTCTGCTGCTATTTCAGGTGACCATCATGGGCAGGCTGTGCCCGCAGCGTGGAATGGGCAAGTCTGTGTTTGTGATGGAGGCCGGGGAGGCCGCTGACCCCACCACGGTCCTGTGCTCCGTGGAGGAGCTGGCACTGGCTCATTACAGACGCAGCGGCTTTGACCAGGGTAACTGAGCAGGCTTCCTCTCGTGGCATCCGGCCCTGGGTGGATGAGCAGCAGCACTGGATGGGCTGTCAGCGGTGGGCTGCTGTCCTCTCTCTGTCCTGTTCACAGTGGAAGATGCTGTGGGCTGGGGGATGTCTTCTTCCCATTCTTCCCCTTATCAATGATGATGAGTAGGTCAGGGGTAGTTGTCCCACAGTGCCTGGCTCTGATCTTTTTTTCTTTTATAAAAACTTGTTATGGAAGATACTGCACAAGCTTTTGTACAGAAGTCAGGGGGGCGAGGGGGCGAGGGGGCAGTGTGCTCAGCCCCATGGCCCACCCAGTTCCATTGTCTTCCTTCTGTTGTCTCCTGCCCCTTCCCCTGGGATTTTAGAAGCTGGCCCCAGATACCCTCTCAGGGGCCCTGTGGCCCATGCTAGTAGCTTTTGGGAACAGCCACTGAGCCTTCCGCCCTTTGCGTCTGGCAGGACTCTCCCTGTGCCCGGGCTGTAGGGTTACCAGTGTTAAAAACACTGATATTTTCAAATGTGTGAAAATCAGGACATGATTTCAGTATTCCCTGAGTGTTCAGAAGATTAACAAGTACTATAGAAAGACAACTACAAGATAGGAGTTTACAAAGCCCAGGTTCTTTCTGATGAGTGTTGAGATTCATCTACATAATATCTTTATTACTTACAGGGAAGGGTGATGCTATTGGGGAAGACTTGCAAATGCCAGTGAAGAGAGAGAGATACAGTAGGCCCGAAACGATTAGAAATAGAAGAATAGAATGCCCGTTCAAGGCCCCAAGAGATGTGGAAACTGGACACTTGCTGGAGGAGGAAGCAGGCTGGGACGTGGGAGCGCTAAAATGCTTGCAGTTGAGCCATGAGCCTGAAAAACACACGATTCCTTTCCCAGAGTAGAAACTATTTTTCCCTGATTAAAATCAATGCAGTGAAACTGAACTGAACTCTGGCTGCCAGGCTTTATGCCACAGGGAATTTTGTGTCAGAGCGATCTCAACCTCTTCCGGGAGGTGATTTCTGAATTACTCAGAAGGACTGCATCAAAAATGATTTCACTTATAACACAAACGCACAGCAAGGACCACTTAGGAGTTAAGAAACGAACCAGGCACGGTAGCTTACACTTGTAATCCCAGCACTTTGAGAGGCTGAGGCAGGAGGATCACTTGAACTCTGAAGATGGAGGTGGGAGGGTCTCTTGACCTCTGGAGGTCAAGGCTGCGGTGAGCCAAGACTGCCACCCCACTCCAGCCTGGGTGACAGAGTGAGACCCTGTCTCAAAACAAAACAAAACAAAACAAAACGGAGTTCAGAAATGATCTGGCCTCTCTATTCCTGCCTGATCATCAGTGTATTCAGCAGGACGGAAGGCTGACTGGAATTCAGGTCCCAGCTCCACTCCTGGCTGGGAAAGAGCATGAAGTGTTCTAGGAAGAAAAGTCCTCCTGGGAGACTTGGCAACAGCCAGGAGCCCTGAGTGAACCGCTGTCCTTTTGAACCCCTGAGACGGGCTGCAGGGATGAGGAGCTAGAACTGAGGAAGACAGGACAGAGCAGCACAGCCTGAGAAGTGCAGGACAGAGGTGACCCCGGCAGGCATGACAGGCTGTGGCTGCCTGCTCTCTGCTCTCACAGCGCCCCGACCCCGCTCACTGTGGTCTGGTGCAGATGGGCTGGGGCCTGTACATGTCAAGGTGGGACCAGCCAGAGGAGCTTTGCTGCCAGTACTGGCATGTCAGGATGGGGCTCTGGTGGTCAGCACCTCCTCTGGCCAGTGGTCCTGTGGGGAGAGGCATCCGTGCGGCCTCCTCCCTTGTCGGGTGTGCTGATGTGCAGAGAAGCATGGGCTTGGAGGGCAGGGGGATGAGCTGGGGCTTGCTCAGGGACACGGGTCTATATGCTGTGCCAAGGCTGAGCCCTTCATCCCACACCAGATCTTGTCTCTGACTCCGTGCCCTCAGCACCTGACTTCTGTCTTTCAGGTCATCTCCCAGTCAGTAAAACATTTGTGTGACATGATGAGGGGGACTGAAGTGGGTAGTCTTTAAGGCCAGAGGTCTCTATAAAAGCCTTGACTATTGGAAGCACTGGGCTAGGGCAGTGTAGTGCCTGGGGGACGAGGTGCATCAGAGCAGCACCTGCTGAGGCCAAGAGTGGAGGTGGCTGCTGCCGGCCTCCTGGGAAGTCCCCTCAGGGAAGCATTTCTTCGGGGTGGCCAGGGACCTCCTGCGCCAGGGCCTGCATGGGGATTCAGTGCCAGCCCAGCCCTGCTAAGTCCCCGCCTTCGGAGCCTGAGGAGGGTATCTGCTTATTTTTCTTTTTAACATGTTTCTTAGATTATTCACTAAAGTTTGAGAACCACTGCTTTGTGACTTTGAAATGTTCATTTGAATTTTTCTATGATTATTAAGATTTTTGCCTTTAAGGCTCTGTATATAAACAATATACTGTATAAAATGAGCTGGGAATGGCATGAAAACAGGATTTGCTTCTGAATCTGAAATATTTCTATTATTTTCTTGAAATTGAGTGTGCAGTAGGTTATGATGGTGTTTTGGAAGAGACAGATAAAACATTTTTTTTTTCCGTGTGTGTGACCTCAGGGATTCATGGCGAAGGGTCCACCTTCAGCACCCTGTGTGGCCTCCTCCTGTGGGACATCATCTTCATGGATGGGATTCCAGATGTCTTCAGAAACGCCTGTCAGGTACTCAGTGCCCCTGCCCCACGAGGAGGTCCTTCTGCACACATCCGTGGCTCACGCCCCTGGGCACCGTGTGTCCACAGCCAGCAGAAACCATCTCTGTTATGGTCCTTTGGGCCATCCACAGGTCAAGGTGATAGCTTATTTTTAAAATCTGATTAATAGAATTTAAGATGTACATATATGAAGTTTTAAACTTTAGCATCCACCTTACATTTAGACCTTTGGTATAAAGTAGCGTCAGCGTCAGCCCTCCCAAGCACCTGCCGTGTCGCAGGCACTATTGCAAGGATCTCACAGACATGGGCACATCTGTCTGCTCAGAGGTCCACCCAGCTCAGCGAAAAGCTGTTTTTGCAAATTATTACTCTAAAAAACAAGTTTAATAAATTATTTTATATCAATTAACTTTGACTTGTCTTTTGAGAGAGAGAATGTATCGGTTGGCCGGTTTCCAAGTTTTGTAGGCACTGACTAGTCCTCTGGTGAACGCAGCTCTCTGCAGGCACAGTATGACAGCTTGCTTTCCCTGTGACACAGGCGTTCCCCCTGGACTTGTGCACAGACAGCTTCTTCGCAAGCAGACGCCCGGCCCTCGAGGCCAGGCTGCAGCTGATTCATGACGCCCCCGCGGAGAGCCTGCGGGCCTGGGTGGCAGCCACGTGGCAGGAGCAGGAAGGCAGAGTGGCTTCCCTTGTCAGCTGGGATCGTTTCACGTCTCTTCAGCAAGCTCAGGTAATGGTTCACCTGCATGGCAGGATTTGCTCAGAAAGTAACGCCGCCCCAGTGCTGTCTTTTCAGCAACTTTATCAAAACACACACACGTGTGTATATGTAAATATGTGCGTGTGTGTGCATATATACATACATATATATATATGAGAATACCCTATCCCCCCGGCCCCGATGCCACTGTTAGTGATGGAAACATACTAGGGTGTTAGAAAAGCCCCAGCTATGCCTTTGCCACCCCTGAGTTGACAGCTTTCTTTGGCCTGCCCTGTGGCTGAGGCAGGGAGGCTACCTCCTGTGTTCCTTCAGCTGCTGCGCTCTGTGAGGCCGTGCTGTCATGTTCCTGAGTGCATCCTCCACATCCCTTTTCCTCAGCGCTCCCCAGCATGGCCACACTGGCAGAAGCCTGGAAACTGACCACAGGAGGACCAGTCTCCCACCACTTGCCAGTGGGATTCCAGCCGTGGCTCTGCGGCTCCAGTACCAGCAGCAGAACAGTGCTCGGTGGGCCTGGGGTCCATGTGCACTGAATTACATACACACTGAGCTTTTCTCCATCTCGTGATCCCTGTAGCCTATTTCCATTCTCTGTCACAAGGGAAGTGGCTAACTGTCCCTGTTTTGTGTTCAGGATCTGGTCTCCTGCCTGGGGGGCCCTGTGCTCAGTGGTGTGTGCAGGCGCCTGGCTGCTGACTTTCGGCACTGCCGAGGGGGCCTCCCCGACCTGGTGGTGTGGAACTCCCAGAGCCATCGCTTTAAGGTCAGTGGAGCCAGAATGGAAAGTCCTGTTGGTAACGTTATTCGCAAATGAATCAGAGGCCACAAAGAGGCATTTCTGGAGTGGCTGTTGGCAAGACTGAATTCCTTGAGAACTTTTGGGCCGAGGGCCTGGGTTCCTGTGGGCCTCTCCCCTGTGACTGCCTTCATCAGAGCAGGTGGGTGAGAGGAGCCCCAGGGTGTGAGCAAGATAGAGCTCTATCTCTTATGACTTGATGTGGAAGTGATGTTCCCTCACTCCTGCTGTATTCTGTGGTTAGGAACGAGTCTCTAGTCCAGCTGACACTCAGAGGGAGGGGGTCACACAGGGTGTGGACACCAGGAGCTATTTGAGAAGCTTACCAATAATTGTGCATTTTAAAATGACTTAAAGAATATAATGGATTGTTTGTAACTCAAAGGATAAATGCTTGAGGGGATGGATACCCTATTCCCCTTGACGTGCTTAGTTCACATTGCATGCCGGTATCAAAACATCTCATGTACCCCATAAATATGTACCCACAAACATTTTTTTAAAAAGCTCAGAATGAACACTTCCTTGAATGCTGTCCACTAGCCCAGCCCTGCTGCCCATCGCTGGTGATTTCTCATTATTGAGTTATGAGATGAAAAAATTACATATTCTGGATACAAGTCCTTTATCAGTTATATTTCATCCCAGTCTATGGCTTATCTTTTCATTTTCTTAATAGTGTCTTTTGAAGAGCAGAGATTTTAAAGTTTGACAAAATCCAACTTATTTGTTCTCTAGTGGATCATGCTTTTGGTGTCAGATGTCAGAAATACTTGCCTAATCCAAGGTCACAAAGAGTTTATCCTTTGTTTTCTTCTAGAAGTGTTATAGTTTTAGGTTTCACATTTAGTTTTATGATCATTTGAGGCACCGTTTGTATACAGTGTGGGGCATGGACTGGACTTCATTTGTGGCGTGGGATATCCACTTGTTCCAGCTCCATGTGTCGAGAAGACCATGCTTCTTCCACTGAATTGCCTCTATATCGTCGTCAAAACTCGAATCCATATATATGTGCGTCTGTGTCTGGACACTCTTCAGTTCCACTGATCTGTTTGTCTGCATTTCTTGATTATTGTAGCTTTAGATAAATCTCAGAGTCAGGTAGTTTAAGTCCTCTAATGACTTGTTTTTCAGAGTTGTTCTGGCTCTCTTGCATTTTTATTTGAATTATAAAATCAAATTTTAAATTTCCAAGGAAAAAAAAAAAAGCCAGCTGAGGCTGGGCGCGGTGACTCACGCCTGTCATCCCAGCACTTTGGGAGGCCGAGGCGGGCAGATCACGAAGTCAGGAGATGGAGACCATCCTGGCTAACCTGGTGAAACCCCGTCTCTACTAAAAATACAAAAAATGAGCCAGGCGTGGTGGAGTCCCAGCTACTCGGGAGGCCGAGGAAGGAGAATTGCTTGAACCCAGGAGGCGGAGGTTGCAGTGAGCCGAGATTGTACCACTGCACTCCAGCCTGGGTGACAGAGCGAGGCTCCATCTCAAAAAAAAAAAAGCCAGCTGAGATTTTAATTGGAATTCCTTTGAATCCGTAGACCATCTGAGAAGAATTGGTATCTTAACAGTACTATTTTGATCAGTGAACATGGTATATATTGCCATTTACTTAGATTTTCCTTATTATTTTTGCAGTGTTTTTAGTTTTCAATGTAGAGGTCTTGCATATCTCTTGTCAGATTGTTCCCTAAGTATTTCATATTTTTTATGCTATTTAAACAGTATCGTTTTTAAAAGTTTCAATTTCCAGTTGTTTGCTGCTGTGTGTAGAAATACAGTTGATTCTGTATATTGATCTTATATTCTGCAAACTTGGTACGCATACTTAGTAGTTCTTGGAGGTTTTTTTTGTATATTTCCTTGGATTTTCTACATTGACAATCAGATTGTCTGCTAATAAAGATATTTTTACTTTTTCCTTTCCAGTCTTAGTTCCTTTCTTTTCTTTTTCTGGCCTGATTGCACTGGCTAGAACCTCCAGGAAAGCATAGGCTGTAAATGGTGAGACTGGACGTCTGTGCCTTGTTCCCAATCTTGGGGGAAGGTACTTAGTCTTCCATTATTGAGTATCATGTTAGATGCAGATGTTTCGCAGATATCTTTTATTATATTAAGGAACTTCCCTTTACATCCAAGTTTTCTGAGAGTTTTTATCAGGCATTGATGTGGGATTCTGTCAAACACTTCTTAAAAAAATCTATTGACATTATTATCTCATATTTATCTTTTGAGTACGCTTATTAATCATGTGATTTACATTGGTTTTTGAATCTTAAACCTACCCTGCATTTCTCCAATACACCCCACTTGGTCATGATGTATTATCCCTTTTATATAATGTTGGGAGTTGATACTGATTTTGCAAAATATTAAGAATTTTTGCATATATGTTCATGAAGGATATTGAGCTGTAATTTTCTTTTCTTATAATCTCTCTGTTGGGTTTTGGTTTCAGAGTCATACCGGCATCAGAATGGGATGGAATAGTTGGTGTAGAATTAGTATAATTCCCTGAACATTTGATAGAACTCCCCAGTGAAGCAGTATGGGTCTGGAGATTTTGGGGGGAGGAAAATTTGAAACTGTAAATTAAATTTCTTTTTAAACAACATAAGGCTATTCATATTATCTGTTTCTTCTTGATTGCACTTTGATAGTTTGTGACTTTCAAGGAATTTGTCCATTTCATTTAAGTACTGTCTTAAAGTTGTTTACATTTGTTTCTTTTCTTTTTTTTTTTTTTGAGACAGAGTCTCGCTCTGTCGCCCAGGCTGGAATGCAATAGCGCGAGTTAGCTCACTGCAACTTCCACCTCCTGGGTTCAAGTGATTCTCGTGCCTCAGCCTCCCTAGTAGCTGGGATTACAGCTGTGCACCACCATGCCTGGATAATTGTTTTAATTTTTATTTTTGGATTTTTAGTAGAGATGAGGTTTTGCCATGTTGGCCAGGCTGGTCTTGAACTCCTGGCTTCAGGTGATTTGCCCGCCTTGGCCTTCCAAAGTGCTGGGATTACAGGTGTGAGCCACCGCACCTAGCCGTGTATTGCATTTTAATATCTGTAGAATCTTTCTCTCTGTCATGCTCTTATTCCTGATATTGGTAATTTCTGTCGTTTCTCCCAGATGAGTCTGGCAGGAGGTTTATCAATTTTACTGATTTTCTCAAAGAATCAGCTTTTGATTTCCTGGTTTTTTTTATTTCCTAGTTTCTTAAAGTGGAAGCTATGGTGATTACTTTGAGACCTTCTTTTCTAATAGAGTTAGCTAGTGCTCCCAATTTCCTTCTCAGTGCTGTTTTATCTGAACCTCACAAATTTAGTAGTTGTTTTCATTTTCATTCAGTTCACAATACTTTCTGATTTCCCTTTTGACTCTTTTTTGATCCTCGGCTTATTTAGAAGTGAGTCATTTACATTTCCAAACACCCGAGAGATTTTCAGGTATCTTTCTGCTATTGATTTGTAATTTAACTCCATTGTAGTCAGAGGACATATTTTGTATGATTTGAATCCCATTAAATTTGTTGAGACTTGTTTTATGGTCCGGAATATGGTTTTCCCTGGTGAATATTCTGTTTGTATTTGAAAAAAATGTGTGTTCAGCATTTGTTGTGGGCAGTATTTTTAAATGTCAGTTAGGTCAAGTTGGTTGGTATTGTTTAATCTGTCTGTGTCCTTACTGATTTCTTATTTACTTGTTCCATAAATTATTGAGAGAAGAATATTGACATCTCTGATTATAATTGTGGGTTTGTGTATTTCTTTTGAGACAGAGTCTCACTGTCACCTAGACGGGAGTGTAGTAGCAGTGCAATCCTGGATCACTACAGCCTTGATCTCCCAGGCTCAAGCAGTTCTTCTGCCTCAGCCTCTTGAGTAGCCGGAACTATAGGAATCCACCATCATGCCCAGCTATTTTTTTTTTTTTGTAGAGATGAGGTGCCATCATGTTGCCCAGGCTAGTCTCAGAACTCCTGGGCTCCACGTTGGCCTCCCAGAATGCTGAGAGTATACCAGTATACCGTGCCCGATTTGTGTATTTCTTCTTGCGTTTCTATCAATATTTGCTTCATGTATTTTGAAGGTCTATTATAAGATGCGTAAACTTTTAGGAGGGTCATGTCCTCTTCATGAGTCTACCCTCATCATTATGCGGTGACCCCCCCTTTACTCCTGGTAATCTTTGCTCTGAAATCAACTTTGTCTGATATTGTTAACATGTAGCCACTTCAGTCTTCTTTTGTTTAATGTTAACATGATACATTTTTCCATTCTTTTACTTTTGACCTATTTTATCTTAGTTTTAATGTGGATTTCTTGTAGGCATCATATAGTTGGGTCTTACTTTGGAATCCAGTTTAACCTCTGTCTTTTAATGGGTTGTTTGGAACATTTACATTTGATTATTGATATCCTTAGCTTTAAATCCTGATACTTAAATTTTCTCTTTGTCTCCGAACTCTTTTGTTCCTTGTCTTTTTCCTGAGTAGCTGGGATCACAGGCGTACGCCACCGTGCCTGGCTAATTTTTGTAGTTTTTGTATTTTTTAGAGTTGGGGTTCCACCACGTTGCCCAGGCTGATCTTAAACCCCTGGGCTCAAGCAGTTCACCTGCCGTGGTCTGTTAAGTGTTGGGATTGCAGGCATGAGCCACAGCACCTGGCGCTGCCTTATTTTTAAAGATTGCATTTTATAGCTTTGTTGGCTTGTTAGCTGTAGCGGTTCATTGTGTTTAAGTGGTTGCATTAGTATGTATATTATATATCTTAAACTTATCCACCTTCAAGTGATACACACTTTAATGTAGAGTAAAAAGAACCTTTCAATCATATTTATATCTTCCCTCTCAGCCTTTGTGGTGTTTTCATGTATTTTACTTCTACGTGTTATATGTTCTATAACATATTATTTTTGCTTTCTACAGTTGATTAATAAGAGTCTGTATTTACTCATGTAGATAGCATTTCCAGTGCTTGTTATTCTTTTGTATAGATCCAGATTTCTGTGTGGTCTCATTCTCCTGCTTGAAGAATTTCCTTTCATGCCCGTAATCCCAGCACTTTGGGAGGCTGAGGTGGGCGGATTGCTTGGGCTCAGGAGTTGGAGACCAGCTTGGGCAACAGTGAGACCTCATCTCTGCAAAATGATGAACAAATTAGCTGGGTGTGGTGGTATGCAATTGTAGTCCCAGCTACTTGGGAGGCTGAGGTGAGAGAACTGCTTGAGCCTGGGAGGTCAAGGCTGCAGTGAGCTGAGATCATACCACTGTACACCAGCCTGGGCAACAGAGTGAGACCTTGTTTCAAAAAAAAAAAAAAAAAAAATTTCCATGTCTGGAAGTTCTGCGAGTAATGAATTACAGTAGTTAGCCCTCTGTATCCATGGTTTCTGCTTCTGTAGATGCAACAAACCATGGACTGAAAATATTTGGAAAAAAGAAAAAACAATAAAAAGTAACTATAATAAACAAAAATAGAGCATAACAACTATTTTCATAGCATTTACATTGTATTAGGTATAAGTAGAGATTATTTAAAGTATATGAGAAGATGTGCATAGAATATGCAAAGGCTATACCATATTGTATCAGGGACTGGAGCATCCATGGATTTTGGTAACAGATGGGGTCCTTGAACCAGCTCCCCGTGGATACTGAGGGATGACTGTATTTAGGTTTTGTATGTCTTAGCCTTTATTTCACCTTTGTTTTTGAAAGATATTTTCTTTGGGCAACGAATTCTGTGTTGAGCATTATTTTTCAATACTTTAAAAATATTAGTCTACTGTCTTCTAACTAGCATGGTTTCCAATCGAAGAATCTTTTTTTTTTCCCCTCTGGCTTTAAAAATTCTGGATGCTTTGACTATATCCCCTGATTATACAGTCATGGTATTTCCTAGGGAACTGTTATATTTGTGTGCCTGGGATTCACTGATTTTCTTCAATCTTTGGGTTTATAGTTTTCATCAAATTTGGACAATTTTTGGCCATTTTTTCTTTAAGTATTTTTTTTTTTCTCATTCCTTTGAGGACTCTAATTAAACGTCTGTCAGGCTGCTGAATGCTATATTTAAACAATTTTTTTCTATACTTTACCTAGGATAGTTTTTATTGCTGTGTCTTCAAGTCTAGTGATGTGTAGTGAACAAAACACACAATTCCTGCCTTCATGAAGATGACATGTAGTACACATTTTTATCTTATGAATGCCATGAAAGAAGTGCTAGGGAGGATATACTCAGAGCTGTGACCTGTCCAGATGAGTTTAAGCTGAGCATTGAAAGATAAGAAGTCAGGCATGTCAAGAACAGGGAGAAATGTCCCAGGCAACGGGAAGAGCAAGTAGCAAGTGGAAATGACGGCCTTGGGGTAGAGAAGAGACTGGTCATGGCAAGAAGGTTAGATTTAATTGAAAATATAACAGTAATTGGAGGGTTTTAAGCAGGGAAGTAAAATCCAGTGCATGCTTTAAAACAATTTTTCATTTGCTATACTAAGAATCGGTTTACTCATCCTCTGTGAAGAACTGTCTAGTTTCTACAGAACAGGAAAATTTCTGAATAAATTTCTTAGCTACAGACGCTCCTCAACTTATGATGGAGTTATGCCCTGATAAATCCTACACATCAACTGAAAATAACGTAAGTTGAAAATGCATTTAACATGTTTGTCCCACCAAACCTCATAGCTTAGCTTAGCCTACCTTGAATGTGCTCAGAATGCGTGCATCAGCCTACAGTCCGGCAGAATCATCTAGCTCACCGCACGCCGTAGAGTACTGGTTACCCTCATGATCATGGCCGTAGAGTACTGGTTACCCTCATGATCACGTGGCTGACCGGGAGCTGTGGCTCACTGCTGCTGCCCGGCATGGAGTATCATACTGGGAAAAGACCAACACTCAGAGTATGGTTTCTATTGAATGTGTATCACTTTTGCACCATTTTAAAGTCAAAAAATCCTAAGGTGAACCATTTTAAGTGAAGGACCATCCGTATATTTGTGTTATACTTACAAATACAGTGGGAGAGCAGAAGAGCCATTTAAGTAGTTGTCACTGACAACTACAACTTAGTTGGATGGCTTTTCATTCAGTAAGACACTAATAACTTTTAAAAATTTCCCTTCCAGCTGGTGGAAGTTAAAGGCCCCAATGACCGTCTTTCACATAAGCAGATGATCTGGCTGGCGGAACTGCAGAAGCTGGGGGCTGAAGTAGAAGTCTGCCACGTGGTTGCAGTTGGAGCTAAGAGCCAAAGCCTTAGCTAAAAGCTATGGAATTGGGGATATTTGGTCATACATTAATGTAAGATTTTCAAGAGTATAAAGCATCATGTTTTAATTTTATTGTCCATTATAAACCTGACAGTTTGACTTGTCATTGTACAGTGTCTGTATTCACAAAACAGTGTTTGCTTGAATACACTCATTGATTCCACACAGTGGGTAATAGACTTTTTTTTTTTCGAGACGGAGTCTTGCTGTCACCCAGGCTGGAGTGCAGTGGTGTGATCTTGGCTCACTGCAACTTCCACCTGCTAGGTTCAAGCGATTCTCCTGCCTCAGGCTTCCCAGTAGCTGGGACTGCAGGTGTGCGCCACCACACCTGGCTAATTTTTGTATTTTTAGTAGAGATGGGGTTTCACCATGTTGTCCAGGTTAGTCTGGAACTTCTGACCTCAACTGATCCACCCGCCTTGGCCTACCAAAGTTCTGGGATTACAGGCATGAGCCACTGTACCCAGCCGGTAATGAACTTTTTTAAGAGAAAAACCTCGTTGACCCTTTTTGGAGCTGGATGCATCTGTATGATTAGACATGCAAAAAGCTGGAAAACCCAAAAACAAGTGATGATTCACCTTTTTAAATAAAAAAGTTAGCGGCCGGGCGCGGTGGCTCATGCCTGTAATCCCAGCACTTTGGGAGGCTGAGTAAAGCAGGCGCATCATGAGGTCAAGAGATTGAGACCATCCTGGTCAACATGGTGAAACCCATCTCTACTAAAAATACAAAAAATTAGCTGGGCATGGTGGCAGGTGCCTGTAGTCCCAGCTACTCCGGAAGCTGAGGCAGGAGAATCTCTTGAACTCGGGAGGCAGAGGTTGCAGTGAGCCAAGGTCACGCCACTGCACTCCAGCCTGGTGACAGAGTGAGACTCCATCTCAAAAAAAAAAAAAAAAATTTAAAAAGTAGCATAACCAATGTTTCCTTCAAGTAATTAATTATATGGGAAGCCGAGATTCTCAAATATTATCTGAGTTTTTCTTTACTGCCCTATTCACATTTAGCTGTTAAACTTTGTTTTATGATTATCTAAGGGCAGAAAAGTTAAATTCCAATTTCTTTAGGAATTAAAAAATTCTCATGAAGTTGTATTAATTTATAACATGTAAATGCTTGTTCTACTGATTGGGCCCAGATCATGAAAGGAATGAAGTCTTTATCGAGGCGTGTCCTTCACTGTCCTTCTCCCTGGGACCATCCCTAATAACTAGATCAGGGGTATTTTCTCTGTTGACAGTAAAGGCAAATCAGGGCTGCTCATCACCATGTGGGAGGGTCTCAGGCTGGCCAAGGGGATGTGGTAGAAAGGTGATTTATCCATGTGCCAGGCCCAGGAGTCAGGAAATGGGATCCCAGTCTCTCGACTTGTTCTAAGGTCTTCTTGGGGGAATATTACTCCCCAGTTTTTATATTTATTGAATGGAAGGACCATTTAGGGCATGATCCATCAATATCCACATGCCCTTAACTTTAGCCACTTCCGAACTGCTGTTAAAAAAGTTACTGATCACTACCTGGCTTTAGAGGGCAAGCAGAAACGTCCCATGGATGACACAGAGGTATGGATGGGAGAAGATGCCTTCACCTCTTCCGTCACTGTGTTCCTGTAGATGATTTCATATTGATAACAACAAACAGTTGCTGTGGAAATTTTATTAAGCCATCAAAATTTCCTTCACATTCATTACTGTTGAACAACAAGATAACACATCTTCTTGCTCATCCCACTTGAACTCAAGTCATCAGTTTTAGGCACAAAGGTTTTAGTTTTCTCAGGAAATCAAGTTTGAACCACTTGAGTTACTATTGCAGCAAGCAGATTTTGTTGACAGATGTGAATAGCTTTCACCCTGTTAGTACAAATTAGTATCCTTTCCTTAAATAAAGTTAGATATTTTTGGTTTCAAAATCGGGTTTCCATCATAAAATAACAGCAAGATACTGTACACCTTTATGTCCAATACTAGAAATTTCACCCAGCACATCCGCATCTGCACGGCCTTCCCTCAGCAGGGGCTCTGCTGGTGGGCAGCAGGGGTGCTGAGCTCTCTCTAGTGCGCTGTGTGCGGCCACACCACTGCTGTCACCATGAGTTCCTCTGACGGCAGAGGTGGTAAGCAGCTTTACCCTGGCCCGACTGAAGGCTGTCATAGTTGTTCTTCATATTATGCACAATAAAATGTGGCACAATAATCATGATATAACAACTGTCCAGCAAAAATAAAACTATTTTACTACATTTGATTATACAAAAATACACATTTTTCTATTTTTAACCATTATTAATAGTACCTAAAATTTTTAAACTTGTAAATTAACAATAAAATACTACAGGAGTTAAAATGAATGTGAGGGAAGAAAATTACAGAGGGAAAAATGCTCAGTCCAACATTTAGTAATAATAAAAAAGCAGCTAAATGAAAAAGGGAGAATTGTGATTACACTGTCAATGGCAGGGTACGCTGTGGTGTTAGAGATTGGGTCTGGTTTCCGATCAAGGACTGTAAAATGTTTAATAATTCTATCTGTATAAACTGAAACTAGCCCTTATTTTCTAGGCAGCAAGTTGGCAAAAACCTTGGGTTTACCCATAAAGTGAATTTCTTAAGATATTTTATAAGAACTTCTGTTATATCCAGAGACATTATCAATTTTTAAAAGGCAAATAATTCAGATAGAAACAGCTATTCAGTACATAGGTAAAATAGAGTTATCTTGAAAACACTTGTTTTAGAAAAGGAAATAAGCTAACTAGACACTTAACTATAAAAATTTTCCATATCTTAGGATGGCAGTTCAAGAAACAGTCAAATTTGAAAGCATCCATGTTTTAAGCAGGGAATGAGGAGTGTGGGGAGGTGGTGCCTCATTTCACTGCTGGAAGAAGCTTCAGCTTTGACCTCTACAGTGGTGGGTAGGCTCTTGTCACACAGTTTGGAAGTAAGTGTTTCAGATCAAGCAAACAACTGTGTCTCCTCATTCTCCTCAACTTTGCTGTCAAAAGTTGGGGTTTGGGAGAGCACTTCTCTCGCTACTCAAATGGCAGTGTTTTCAGAGAATCCACTTTTTTATTTCTCCTTTATTCCTAAGCATTAGGAACTGTGAGAGAAGGACATCTGTACAGGTGCCCAACTTGTGACCTCATTAGTTATTTCCAAGGGGAAGTGCCAGCAATAGTTTACCACACTGCAAATACTGATGGCCAAGCCCAGCATGCCTCCCAGCAAGCCTTGTTTGTGAGGGGTTTTGGCATAGATGGCACTCTCCTGTCTCCAGCACGCACCTCTCAGGAATCAGCACCCCACAGGCCACTCCCCAGTGGCTTTCAGAGGAACAAGACTTTGGGGACGCCTGGCTATGAAGCTTAGTATGAAAAGCCTATTTCCAATATGCAATGGGATTTTCACACCCCAATTTTAAAAAGTGAAATTGTATTTTCTTCTGTAGTATTTGTATCTTAATGTCAAAGGCACTTCTAAGTTTAATTATCTGCAGCAAATGCTTTAAAATTAACAGTGCATATCATTTTAAAGTTAGCCCTATAAAGTTTAAAAAGCAAACTCATGATTTTAAAACACAGTGATTGAAGGTCCCGAAGAAGGTGATCTAAAATAATAAATTCTGTCCACAGAGCACTGAACCTTCATCAGGTGAGTTCAATTAGAGATGACAAAGTAACCAGAAACATACATGAATACTTCCTAAAACCTGCGGAGGTTTTATCAGATGTTCCTAAAAATGATACGAAACGCAAATTTCTTAACTTTCCTGTTGCCTGCTGCTTGGGGTTGCTAACGTGACTATCAGATAGCCTTCAGGAGGCAGCAGGAAAAATGGAGAAAAAATGTAGCAGACAGAACATGAACAGTTTGATCACAGTTACAAGAGCCAGACCTGTAATGACAGAAAGAGGACAGGAACAAAATTTACATCTCTCTTAAAATAAGTGTGAAAGAAGCATGATTCAACATGTTTTTAAATATTAGTGCAAATTCCAACTATCATTCTTACATATAAAGTTATTAGAGCTTCAAACGCCTAGGTTAGCAATTTTAATTCAGAGGAAAAAGTTGACAGCTTCCCTCAAAATGTTCAGAAAACACCCTATTTTAGTCTTCATTTGCTAATGTCTCAGTAGACAACCATATTTTGGCCCCACTTAAAAATTTGCTTAATGGTGTTCCTAAAATGCTTCGTCTGCATAGATTCCCTACAGGAGAAAATGGAAATGAGGAGGAGAGAAACTCTGGCGTCCCCGAGGTGTCGGTGTCGTGCGGGCCGCTGGCTCTGAAGTACATCCTGCTCTGGCTCAGCTCCCCGTAGCAGGCCTCCAGCGGGCCACTGCGCTGCTGCCGCAGCATCCTGCTCAGCACATCCACTTCATCAGCCAGGAGGGAGAGCTTGTGAAAGGCCGTGATGGAGCCGCCCAGGCTGATCTGGGCCTCAGGAACCCAGCGGAAGTAGCAGAGTTTCCATAGTTTTATGTGTGTTCCAGAGACACGTGGCAGAATAACAGCGTGCAGATTGACGGGTTTGGAAAACCATTCTCTAAAATATTGCTCCATATCACTGTTCTGGCTGTTGGTTTGCTGAGGTGGATCTGGCTTTGGTTTTAATATCAATGAATTTCTCCTTGGAAGTAATTCTTGGTCACTGATGATTCCATTCTTTAAGGCAGACGGCATTCCTCTTAGTGTGGAGCTGTAGTTTTTCTATACAGAAGAGATTTTATTATGTTCCGGCATTTCCCTTTTTAGAAAGATTGTAAGGATGCAATGGCAAATGTAAACTCAATACTATGAAAAATTAATGGAATTTCAGCCTCAAGGAGCATTTTCCTCCCTTCCTCTGTAGTCCTTATTCTACTCCTCCTCCCCTGGAGTTAACCTTTATGTGTTGGCTCTACCTAGGCTATTGCCATCAGCCTGAATGGGGGTAGGGATGAGAGTACCTCCTATCCACTAATTTGCTTAAGGATAAGTTCTAAGACTAGGGCTAGGAAAAAACCCTAGACCTGGCCGATTGTATCAAGAACAATGGCAAACTGAATGGAGGCAGTCAGGAGGCCAAACGTCTGATTCTTTGTTCTGTACCTTTCAGTACTCTCCAAATTTTCTACCAAAAAAAACCCCAAGAATTTATTTGGAAATTATTAAAAAGACAAACAACGAATGTTATTAGGACAGGAATATAGCAGTCAGGAGGCCATGACTACATCACAGCCAGGTGGCATTCCCGGCCACAGTGGCAGCTTGAATCATCAAGAAATGGTAAGTGGGACTTCAGTAAATGGGGCTTGCAGGCTCAGAGCCGCAATCTGCCCACTCTCAGGTACTGAGACTGTGGGCCTCAGACACCAAGAAGAAAGTTGGGATACGGTCACTTGAGTTAAACAGGGAATGACCCCTCAGAAACCTGCATTAGCAGTGTTACTCTTGGAAGTGCCTTTATTTTTAATGCTCTGTGTTCTGAAAAAGATGTGTTTGGCTACGTGTGAGCCAACATCAGGTTCTGTTAGCTGTGATTTACCTTTGTCCGTATAAAAGACTTCACGGAGCCATTGTGTACACAAGGCGTGCTCTTTCCAATGTAGAAGGGGTTATGGAAAAGGGTGCGGTCCTTGGCTGTAAACTGGAGAGACCAGTCCCAAACAGAGGGGAACTGTAAGCCCTTCTCGTCACCCAATTGGATATTTTTGCTTATAGCAAATTCCTGCAAAATAAATAAATAAAATATTTGAACATTTGTGAAAATATGCAAAACTAAAGATTTTCTCATGAATGCCTTTTTACGGATGAGCCATTCATACAGGTTAAATGTTCTGTACTGCAGCCCTCAAAACCCACCAGAACGGCACTTTCACTTCAAGAAAGGCTCCTGGCTTTTGAGCTCCGAGAAGCCCCCCAGTCCCCCTGGACAAGGAGTGTGCTATTCAAGTGCCCTCTGCCTTAGGACCCCAAGGAAGCCGCCCTTTGAGCAATAAGAATGTTAAGAGAAGTTTCACTAACGTGATACTAGAAAGTCTTAAACATGTTGAATTTATTTCTGTGATTACAGTATTTTACTTTTATGAGCACACCATCAGTACATTTTAGTAGTTACCTGTTGGTAAGTGGATTAACAAAACTTTTGGATGGAAATCTCTGCCACCAGTTTTATAACTTACTTTCTAAGTGGGGAGTGACACTTCATTGAGCCAGTGATCTCAAATCACAAACCACAGACTCGGAGTAGGAAGGAAGCGATCAACTCCCCTGTGGTCCTAGCATGTGGCTAAAACGATGGAGACCATGTACACAGGAGACCCCTCTTCACAGAAGCCCACCTCTAGCCTGGACTCTGGGCTGGTGCAGCCTGGTTATCTGGCTTCCCACCACAGTAAACTGAGGTAACACAAAGCTACAGGGAGACAGCCAACCACCTCACTGTGAGGAAGCCAAGGAGCTCCTCTGGAAGGCAGTCCAGACCATTTCTATGAATCAGAGTCACATTTAGCAACGAGGACAAAGGAATCTCATCTCAGCTGATTGACGGCAGCAGGCCACTACAGCAGCATATACACAACAGTTCCCTGGAGAAAATAACCCCAGACACAGAGTCGCTGGATGATGGGAGATGTCTGATTCTTTGTTCTTACCTTTCAGTACTCCCCAAATTTTCTACCAAAAAAAACCCCCAAGAATTTACTTGGAAATTATTATTATTATTATTATTTTTTGAGACGGAGTCTCGCTCTGTCGCCCAGGCTAGAGTGCAGTGGCCGGATCTCAGCCCACTGCAAGCTCTGCCTCCCGGGTTTACGCCATTCTCCTGCCTCAGCCTCCCGAGTAGCTGGGACTACAGGCGCCCACCACCTCGCCCAGCTAGTTTTTTGTGTTTTTTTTAGTAGAGATGGGGTTTCACCGTGTCAGCCAGGATGGTCTCGATCTCCTGACTTCGTGATCCGCCCGTCTCGGCCTCCCAAAGTGCTGGGATTACAGGCTTGAGCCACCGCGCCCGGCCTTGGAAATTTTATTAAAAAGGCAAACAATGAATGTTATTAGGACAAGAATACAGCAGTCAGGAGGCCATGACTACATCACAGCCAGGTGGCATTCCCTGCTACAGTGGCGGCTTGAATCACCAAGAAATGGGTAAGCTATGTAACAGCACAGGGCATTTTGTAAAGTTTTACAAAATTTTCTACTTCAAGTAAAAATTCATTAAGCACTAAATACACACACTTAAAATTTGTGGCCAAGCACAATGGCGCATGCCTGTAATCCCAGCACCTTGGGAGGCTGAGGCGGGCAGATCACAAGGTCAGGAGTTCAAGACCAGCCTGGCCAATATGGTGAAACCCCATCTCTACTAAAAATACAAAAATTGGCCAGGCACGGTGGCTCACACCTGTAATCCCAGCACTTTGGGAGGTCGAGGCGGGCGGATCACGAGGTCAGGAGATTGAGACCATCCTGGCGAACATGGTGAAACCCCGTCTCTACTAAAAATACAAAAAAACTAGCTGGGTGTGGCGGCACACGCCTGTAGTCCCAGCTTCTTGGGAGGGTGAGGCAGGACAACGGCATGGACCCGGGAGGCGATGGAGCTTGCAGTGACCAGAGATTGCACCACTGCACTCCAGCCTGGGCGACAGAGTGAGACTCTGTCTCAAAAAAAAAAAAAAAAAAAAACATTTAGTTACTTGAAATTTCATCACGTACATAGATTAAAAACCACCCATTTGCTTTAAACACTGTTAAAAGCTGAAATCTAGTAAAACATGAACCCGAACATGTTTTAATGGCCCTTCAATAAGTATATAGAAAATGTCCTCTTTGCCAAGTGCGGTGGCTTACGCCTGTGATCCCAGTACTTTGGGAGGCTGAGGTGGGCGGATTGCTTGAGTCTAGGAGTTCAAGACCAGACTGGGCAACATGGTGAAACCCTGACTCTACAATACAAAACTCAGTTAGGCGTGGTGGCATGCACCTGTAGTCCTAGCTACTCAGGTGGCTGAGGTGAGAGGAGTGCTTGGACCCAGGAGGGAGAGGCTGCAGTGAGCTGAGATGGCACCCACTGCACTCCAGCCTGGGTGACAGAGCCAGACTGTCTTAAAAAAAAAAAAAAAAAAGATGTTCTCTTTTTTAAAAGGTGAAAACTAAAAATATTTATCTCCAAGAGAAATCATATTTTCTACAAACAGTACCTGGCCACTAGCACCTAAGGTGGCCTCAGAATGGGGAAAAAAAAAAAAGAAATGCTTTGGGCTTCTGCCTGTGTGGAAGGGGCTGCGAATGCTTAAGAATCATGACCCTTAGACAACGACCAGTTCCTGCTAGGGAGGAAGGGAGAGGGGATTCATGTTAGTATTTGTCACAAAAAGCTTTTGAAAAAGCCAAATTAAAAAAATAGAGCACTAGAACATGAACAGGGAAAGCAGACGAAATACCTGTAGAAAGTATTTTTTACAGCTCCCTCAATACAATTCAGCCATGTTCACTTCTGGTGAGAAGTCTGTCGGCACACACAGCAGCCAAGCCGCAGAGGCAGTGGTGTCTGGGGCCGGGGTCCTCCACGCAAACACCCGCCCATGCGCTGCCCAGTTCCCAGACCCCAAAGTCTTGGTCCTCGCCTCACGCACCTTTTGCAGGCTCACACGGGGCAGTGAAGGGAGAGAATGGGGAAGAGCTGAAGGAGGCAAACAAGGCCGAGGGAAAGCCTAGCTGGAGGCAGAGGGGGGGCCCAAGAATGATTACGGTGACAACAAATGAAAACGAGCAACTGGGAGAGCATGTATTTTAGAACAAATGAGCGTTCCATGCCTCAGGAGCCTCTGAGCCTGTATCACTGGTCCTCAGCACAGTATCTGGAAAGGTCAAACTTTCCTGGTGGGGTGGGCAGGGGACAGATTCTGGCTCTGTCACCCAGGCTGGAGTGTAGTGGCACAGTCTCAGCTCACTGCAATCTCTGCCTCCTGGGCTTAAGTCATCCTCCCACCTCAGCCTCTCCAGCAGCTGGGACCACAGGTGCACACCACCACGTCCGGCTAATTTTTGTATTTTTTGTAGAGATGGGCTGACAGTGTTGAGTTTCTTTGAACCCTGGGTCCCCAAAAGTGGCAATGTTGGACAATCTCTCCTGCCTTTCGTGTCCCGAGAACTGGCTCCTGTGGACTGAGAATGCCCTTCCTCCTGATTCCCCTGTTTTCTGACTCTATAAAATCCCAGATCTTGTCCTTTTCTTTGGGATGCCCATTAATTAAGTTCTCCCTCCTGCAATAGCCTAAATAAAATCAGCTCCTTAACTGACCAGTGTGTTTTGTCTTTTACACCAACAAATCCAGAATTCCTATGTCTT